TTTACATAACCCAAGAAGCAACCGAGTCACTGTGTCCAGCCTGCTCTCAGTTCAACATGAGCAAAACAAAAACTAGAACTGCCCTCAGGATTACCCTCCTACTCTTCATCATGGTGGAGGAAATGTCTTCAGAAAGTTAAATGAAAATGATAAATGACTACTGAACAAGTGGTAACTATGGTAGGCACAGGTGATTGATTTCTCACAGCAACTAAAAACCAATACAGATGGACACACCCATGAGCAACAGAGAACCTCAAACCCACAGCAGCGTGTTACAACATGACATGACTAAAGAACCTAACTGGTCATTCTACATTTAACCGTTATGGTTCACTGCGTCACGTTAAAACCCATTTCATTTTGTTTACGTAATCCAGACTTTGTAGTTCCTAAAGTTATGTAAAGACTGCAAGTCTTGAGGACATTATGAACACAAAGGCTGTAAAAACTGACAAATATTTAAAAACAAAAACTTGTTAAAAGTATAATAAAATATGGTAATATCTGCCTTTGAACTAAGAAATCTGGGATTTCCTTTACAATCTGCAGCTCTTTCAGTCTAAAATTTGTGTTGTCCCAGTCCATTATATGGTTTTCTCTTATGCAGTGATCTGTTGTGAACAGGGATGTGACACCAACCCAAAAAACATCAACTCAAAAAACCATAGACATAGTAGTTAACAGAATCAGACAGGACAAGACTTTACACAAAAGAACAAACCTCACAGCAGATGACATAGCACAACTGATAGGACTGGTAGCTAACTCCACTTACTCCACATACGACAACGCAATATACAAACAACTGGAAGGCTTCGCCATGGGTAACCCGTTATCAGCCACCCTGTGAGAGTTTTTCATGGAAGACCTGGAACAAAGAGCCATAGCCACTGCACAAGAGGACAAACACATACAATACGCTTTAAAGACCTGCGCATACCCGACATGGGCAATAAACAAAGGAAAACGGCAAACAACAACAGAAAGAAAAGAACAACCTAAGCAAAGAACCAGAAACCCAGAAAGACAAGAACCAAAACCAGTGATAACCCTACCATACATCAAAGGCATAACAGAAAAAAATAAGAGCAACGATGAAAAAACACAACATAAACACACCAACAAAACCATACACAACAGTTGGAAACAGACTAGTGCACCCAAAAGACAAAATATCAGCTGGACTTAAATGTGGAGTCATTTACGAAATCCCATGCAAACTCTGCAATAAAACATACATAGGAGAAACCGGACGCCAACTCAACACACGAACAATAGAACACAGAAAGGAGTGCGAGAAAGAAACAAGTCGAAAACACACAAGAGCAGCGAAACAAGAAGCAGAAAGCACAATAAAGAAGTCAGCCGTAACAGATCATTGCACAAGAGAAAACCATATAATGGACTGGAACAACACAAGGATCATAAACATTGAACAACAAAAATACAAGAGATGGATTAAAGAAGCAATCGAGATAAGGAGACGTGGAAGTGGGACCATGAACAGGGACGACAGAGTGTACACGTTGGACCGCGCATGGGACTGCATCGTCGGAGAGGGGAGAGCGGGCAGTAGAGGGCGACAACGTCCTCGGAGAAGGAAGTGATGCGCCACCATCAGCGTCAGCCTGAGGAAGCCTGCAGCCGCCGGTGAAACGTAGCGACAAAAACAGGTAACAAAACCGTTTCTGTGTTTTAAAAAACAACGACAGCATGGAATTAGAACCATTACACAGCGAGAACACACCTAAGATGTTTCCCTCAGTGGGGAAAGAAATTAAAATCTATATCTCCCACTAATATTTATTATTTCATGATAACTATGTATTGTTGGTCATTTCAAGGGTATTACATGTACTAATTAGAGCACCAGAAACGTGTTATATTTTCAGACAAACCCTCTATATCTGGATAGTTGTCCTCAGTTTGTGTTCTTCCAGTGAGCTTTGAAGATTTGTGAAAATGTCATCAGGCAGTAATTGTTGAATTCATAATAATGCGGTGAGAGTCCATCTACTGCATTGGCGACCAGCTCTTATCTGCCCCCTGGGAGCCCCGTAATGCATAGCATCATTTCAATATGGGGGTGCCCACGACACGGTTCATTTGCTGGAAATGGGCGCTGTGGATGCACTACAGGGCGACTCGCTGCATTCTCCCTCAACCCAAAGTCCTCACATCACGCATTTTAGGTAAAACGCTAACGTTAACTTGCCTTGCATCGACTGTAGAGTTGTGGGTGATGGTCACGCAGACTCATGAGATTCAAAGCCTTGCTGCCTTTGCAGACACTTTTGCCTGCATGTGCTGCAAACAGGATAGCCATCTTCTATCAACTGTCCCCTGGCATTCTTCAACTATCCTAAATATGTCCATACTGCCAACTTTGTCTTCTTTGAGGGCTGATAAATATCCTGAGTGCTGCCATCTCCTCCTTCAGTCATTATTTCCATAGTTCAGCTTCAGGAAAGTTTTGGTTGTAAACTAAAAAGTGTACATGAGCGGCAACTTCAGCAGATGAGACGGTGACTGGTAAGGGTTACCACGCCTACACCGCAGTAACAGTAATCCACCGAGATACATTTTAAAACAAGACAGTAATTAATAGTGTCGAATTTTTTTCGGGGTTTACCGCTACACCGGTTACCGTGGCATCCCTCGTCCTTGGGCAAGACACTTAAGTTGCCTGCTTGTGGTGGATGGAGGGACTGGTGGCACCAGTGCTCGACAGCCTTGCCTCCCGTCAGTGCGCCTCAGGGCAGATGTGGCTAGAATGTAGCTCATTACCACCAGCATGTGAATGTGTGTGTGCTGACTGTGTTGTAAAAGCTTTGAGGATTGTAGAACCCTTGCAGGTGTTATATCAAATACAGATCATTTACTAGGGATAGAAATCTCAGAGCAACTCACGATTTGATCCGATTCTCGGGGTGCCGATTCGATTCAGAATAGATTCGATTTAAATCAATTCACAATTAATGTTAACAAAGAGTGTCAGTTCTAGGATGAACTACTTTGTTGTGAAAGTTAGTTAAAGCTTTGGGAAATTCTATTTTACTTTAAACTGGTCATGCTCCAAAAATGCTAATTTACAAGGTAAACTAAAGTGATTCTAAAACTGTAACCAGAAACAATCTTATGACCAAAAGGCAACATTTATTTTTGCTTACCTTGTAAAATATAACAAATCTGTAGTTACCCAACAGTAGCTTTGAAAGTAATATGGTCAAATACTTTAAGTATCTGTGGAAACAAGTTTAACATTTGAGTCCTCAACCTGTTCAAAAAAAGTGCCTTAGATTTCTTACAAAGGAAAACGTGTTCTCTCGTTTATCAATAACTTCAAATAAACATGAGTAATCCTGAGTGCTCACTTATCAACTTAGAAAATAAATATGAGAATATCTCAAATTTCTGAGTATGGAAAAAATTACATTGTAGTCCGCACTTGTCAGCAGATTCAAACATAAATCATCTCAATTTATGGGACCACAAAAGTAAATGGAGTACTGACTCTCCTAACAAAGATAAAAAAAAAAAACAACTGACAAAAGTGCATCTCAAACCTGTAACGTGCCAAACATTTGAGTTCCTGGAATCGATTCTGAACCTTTGTGAATCGATTCTGAATCTTTATAAATAAGAATCCCGATTCAGACTTGAATCGATTTTTTTCAGCACCTCTACTGTTTACCATATACAGTAAAATTATATTGAAATTTAAAAAAAACTGTTTAATAAAAGACAAACACTTTGGATTAGAGTTAACATTCCACATTTAAAAACGCGTATTTTAATTAACAGTAACATAAAAATGTTGTAAAGTTTCTATCGGCATCAACAGCCTGCTGGAGAGAAAAGAAATCCCACTCTTCTTGAAATGCAGGTGAGCACCACAGAATCCCTCTGAGGGCATACCTGGCTTCGGTTTTCCAGCTATGCTCCAGGACATACAGAAGACACGCGGGAATTTTATATTAAAAACTGATAAATTACAAGTTTTTTTAAAACCTTCAAACTGGACTGAGTTGTAACATTTGATCCGTGATTTTTTTTACAACATCTCCTGCCATACATTATTGATCCCTGTACCTTTTTGTCTCATTAAGTCTCTAAACGGGGACCCGATATTCAGATAAGACTATAGATAGAACTATAGACACATTATTGTGTGTGTGTGTGTGTGTGTGTGTGTGTGTGTGTGTGTGTGTGTGTGTGTGTGTGTGTGTGTGTGTGTGTGTGTGTGTGTGTGTGTGTGTGTGTGTGTGTGTGTGTGTGTGTGTGTGTGTGTGTGTGTGTGTACTCCATCTTCTCGATCTCCAGTGAGTCGTGGAGGATGGCTGCTTATACTGTGCCAGGATCCTCTGGAGGTTTCTTCCTGTTAAAAGGGAGTTTTCCTCTCCACTGTCGCTTTATGCTTGCTTAGTATGAGGATTGCTGTATAGTCACTGACACTAGTCAGTGACTTGATGCAATTTGCTGGGTTCCTTATATAGGAAACATTATTTCTGATTGGCTTAATTAACTGTGAATTGGAATGTTTATTATGTGAAGTGCCTTGAGATGACTCTTGTCGTGATTTGGCGCTATATAAATAAAGTTGAATTGAATTGAATTTTGATTTCACCCACAAAAAGTAATGATTTACTTGTGTTGCATTGTGGGTAATCAGGAGTAATATTATGGTATGCACAGACGCTGCTGATGAGTAGCCTGGAAGTGGCTGTTAGATTTGTCTGTGGGGAAACATCCAACCCATTAGGAAAACACCACCACCAAGCTACTTTAGAGCTACCGATAACGTCATACTTGTAATCACATTTGTCAAAAGTACTTTGAGAGCACCCTAAAGTGACTGATTCCGTTTTAAAAGTCATAACTAATCTGATTTATTGTGCTGCTAATCAGGGATAAACCAGAGGGCATCGTGATAAAGAACATAATACCAGCCTGTAATCCCGCTCCTAAATAAGTTTGGCAGCGGAGCAGCGACCCACCTCCTCGGCGTGTTTCCGCAGAGCTTTCTCCCGTTCGTACTGGGTGACGAGCTGCTCGTTGTCCTCCTTCAGCAGCTCCAGTTCCACTTCGTGCTCCTTGTTGGCAGCAAACACCGAGTCCAGGTTCTCCAGCAACCCGACGACCAGCGGCATCAGCTCCTTCACCACGTCCTCGTCGTATTTCTCCATCAGCCGCTCGAACTCCCGGTATATGGAGCTGGCCAGACCCGAGACCCGCTCGGACATCACGGCGGAGTCCCCCGAGTCGTCCTGATACAGGACGACGTCGTCTAGCTCCATTTTATTGCCTTCGCTTGCAACTTCTTACCCAGCTAGGACCAGTGAGCTAGCCACACGCTCCGGCTGGACGGAAGGAGTTCGCCCTTGACTTTATGCGGAACGACACAGCTGTGCTACCGAACCATGCCTCAAAAGTTCTTCCATGTAGACCGTAGAAGCTGCTATACGTCTTTAACAAGTTCCGAACGCGGTTACACCGTGACGGCAGGCTTCCCCGCCGCGCTAGCCCGGTAGCCCGCAGTACTGAAAAGTCTTTACTTGGCTTCTAATTAGTTTCCCTGTCCAACAGATGAGCTCCTACTGCTGCGTTCACGTGTTGTCGGAACGTGGGAATCCAAGAAGTTCAACTCACTAAAGTACAAAATAGCTCAGCGTAACTTCCTATTTCACTTATGACTCAACCTCGCCCATTTATAGCCGTGGATTTGGGGGATGTTCAGAAGGCGGTGACATTAAACCCTGTGATTTAGGATCTTCCCGAAAGTCAATGACGGGTGGGCGGCTCTGTTTTTTTCAGACAAAATTCTGCGTTTCCAAATTTGAATTTGGCAGACAACCACCAAGGAAAAATGTTTTTACACTTTGTTTTTAATGTGGAATAAATAAAAAAGTATGGACGTACTTATGTGATCATAATCAAAGAAGACTTAAATGTATTTTAAGGCTAAGTTTGTAATATGTGGCCTGTACTCGGTAATTTACTCCGTCAAGGTTTGAGTTAGGAGTTTCCCAGCACCCCATAAAGGTGTCATTTGTTGAACGTTGTCACGTGCTAAAAAAGGATGGGCGGGAAGGCACGTCAAAACAAAACTCGAAACAAAAAATAAAATACAACAAAATGACTTAAACATCTAAAACTACATTTTCAATTCTATTTGATTAATACAAATATTTTTAAAAGGGTTTACAAATATTAAAATACAAGTTTGATGTTTTTGTTTGTGTACCCTAAATGTTTTTCTATTCCTGCGTGATTGTCAGGTTGACATGTTTTATGTGTCATATTACCAAGGTAGATACCAGCTCAGAGTCCAAGTTAGACATTTAAAAACTAAAATCAGAGTAAAAACAAATAAACAAAAAACAGAGTAAGAGTAAAACAAAACTAATTACAGAGTAAAAACAAGGGGCTAAATTCAATATTTAAGCAACTAAAAATATGAACACAAAAGTAAAAATTATGAGTAATTACTAGATTGTAAAAATGTAGAAACAAAATAAAAGTTCTGTACACAAACAATAAAGTACTTATTGAGTAAGAGCCATATAAATGGTTTAAGTCATTGTTTTTGCACTGGAAACATTTTAAGACACAATCTGCCCTTAATCACTCATACAGCAAAAATATCTAGTTTCTACACTGATTTCAGCCTGCAGATCAACAGGTTGCTGAGATCCTCCTCTGATGTATTTGTCAGTGTGGGAAATGAAAATCAAAATGGAATTACTTCACAAGTACATTTATTTGCATCAAGGTTTTAAATCCATTACATGGATGTAAAATAGTTATGCAGGCAAAAACTTACATAAACTTCACTTGAACTAAAAAAACAAATTCCAATAAAATGTTTTAAGCACAAGTTTTGGACGTTTTTTGTTTGAGTTCATTCTTAATGCAGTCAACTAAAGAATTCCCGGTCTGTAAAGACATGCGTTGGGTTTAACTACCCATAATGCATAGGCACTGTTCACCCTGATGTTGCAGAACAATATACACAGCACAGCTACCACACAACAACACCGTGGCTTTAAACAATTTGAAGGGAAATGTGCTTTTCGGCTCTGAAGTACTCTCAAAAATGAAACTCACAGAACACAAAAGCAGCAATACAGCTCAACTGTTGCCACGGCGAATACTGTACACACTAAACATTCAAAGATTATGGCGTCAAGTTGTTCATGGAGTAACTCCAACTGAAAAGAAAGAAAAGTTCTTGTAGGAAAAGTGCAAATAAATAAATTAGTTTGTGCTCCAATAGCTCTCTTTTGGCAAATCAGGCTCATTCTTAAAAATCACAACAAGCAAATTCCACAGTCTTCGATCGCTGGTGCAATCAAACGCAAATGTTTGGGAATATATCAGGCCAAAATGGAAAACTTCAGATCAGGGTTCAAAGGAAGTAGCTGAAGCCGTCTTGGATCAGATGCAACGTGGAAACAGACACAGTGAGTGAGTCTCTCACACGGTATTGTGTGAGTTGTTGCCCACTGACGACGGGCAAAGGGAGTAGGGCCCCTCGCTGCTCAGATTGTTGAGCGCCCGGAGCACAGCATCAGGCATGTGATCCGTCAGCATCCTGGGACTGATCAGGATACTCCGGAAAACCATTTCATCGGACCAGTCAGCGCGGTAGCGAACCTGAGAAAAACAGGATCTATAAGGGAGAAAAAGAGGTTATTCAGTCTACATCCTCCTATAACAGTTATAATATTTGTGCTGTCAAACAGGCGAAGGACACGGGACGGGACTGATTATAAACACAAACGATACTTCAGAAAACCTGGTCATTACAGACCTCAGTCCATTTGTTCCAATATAGACTCGTTCACTGCCAATGACGACTAAAGTTGTCATGTTTTTACTGTGTGGGTGTCGGAACGAGCCCCCACACCGTGAGAACAAACACCCCAGCTCTAAAGCTGATCTTCATCCGCAGAACATCCATGTGTTAGGAGATCGTTTTGGGCCGCTGCTGTAAATGAAGCGAGGCGCGAACCGGAAAAGCTTCTGCCGATCACATTTTGACAACGGATTATGAAAGAACGGCTAACGCGCGGATTCTTCCTGATATAAGAGGTGAGTCTACGCTTTGTTTTGGTAGCGTCGGCGTTGCCATCATCATAGAGCACAACGTTCTGTGACTCTTAAAAAAACTGTGACAATGCTGAAAAACGCTGGCAGCGAATGAGCATGTTCAGAAGAACCCAAAAACATAAAATGGTTCCATTTTTAAATCTTTTTCTTGAGCCAGTTTGTGCTAAAATGACCCCTCACAGGGTTAATGAAATGACACTCAGACCCTATCGCCCTCTGTGGCCAGAATACCACACTTGCAGCTTCAAAGTGGCGAGCCACCTCCTTTTGGGCTCAGTAAAGTGGAGCTGGCATGCTAGCCCTGTTGTCTGCTTCCAGCACGTTTCATGAGCACAGCTGAGTTGTTTAATTTAACGAAGAACCACTCCTGTAGACACTGAGGAGGGCTGAGGAGACATTTCAGTAGTTCGATTGAGGTGTTAAAAAGAGAAACGCACAGCGAGGAGTTTTACATTTGCAGGAGGTGCTAAAAGCAAGCCAAAACTGATTAGTATCCCTTCAACGGTGCATTTCCCCTCCCCAGAAGCATCAGCTATCCCGTTAAAATGCCGTTGTTAGATTTATGCAGCTATCAGACGAGTCCGTGGGCTTACCTCCGTGACGGTCCGTCCTCGGTGATGTGCAGAATGCGTCCAGGCAAGAAGAGAGGCAAGTGTGGCGCTGAGTGTGCAGGTGAGTCATCGGACACCAGGCTCTGGTAAGATGAGGAATGGCGAATCATCAGCGACTCCTCCCCCAGCAGCGGCCTGCTGAGCTGCTCCTCCCTCCTGTTTTCCATCTCGGTGGGGAAATTATCCGGGTCTCCTCCGAAGAGCTCGTACCAACAGCCCTGTAGCAGGATGCGGTACTGAAACACAGACAGAGACGTCAGACACGGGGGGTGGTGAGGGGGGTGGGGACCAATCTGCAGCACCAACTCAGGTGGGCTCACTTTGGGCTTGTTGCAGTTTGACACTATTTTAAGGATCCGTCTCTTCAGATCCTCTATGTTGGGAATGCTCAGTCTGTCCAACAAGGACAGAAGACAGTTAGAGAACATAAGGTAACCAGTAAGAGTCTGATCGCCGCAGATGCTCAAAGAGCTTTCTGTCCTCCTCACCTGGGAACTAAATCCTTTCCCAGCACCACGGACACTATGAAGTCCTTAGAGTAGTCCGCTAACGCCTTACTGAGAATAAAGAACAGACAAGAGTGATGAAAGTAGTCAGGTTTAACAGTGAGGACAGAAAGACAAGAATCTAAAACCAGAAAAAAATAAATAAAAACATGTCACCCTACCTCAGGAGGCCCCCTGGTGGAGAGAAGGAGTAGCACTGCAGGGTGGGGAAGGACGCGTGCAGGAGGATGGCCAGCAGAGCCGCTGTGCCTGCACCCAGACTGTGACCAGTGATGACCAGTTTATACTCCTACACACACAGGATGACACGAATGCTGAGGGAAGGAACCAAAACCGACATCTTCCAGGAAAAGATTACAGGAAAAGCTTCAAAATAAGAGCATCAACTGACACATTATGACCTGTGTCCTGGTTACAAGTCTCCATCCTGTGGGCGTAGTTGTTTTACCTTCAGAGATGTAAACTCTGATCACTCAAAGGCGTCGTCTTAAATGGACAAAGGTTTTTATTAATAAACTATTCAGATGTGTAAAAAGACTGCTGACTTGTGTCTACAGGTGGCAGAATTTAGCCGTTTAGTGGTGAGTAATCCACCACTTACCATAAAAGCATCAGGTCTGCTTAGGAGAAGAGAAATAGCTTTGTGAATTCAAAACAAACCGTGTGCATTCATTCATTTGAAATAATGGAGGTATCCTCTCTGATTGGTGTGTTTTGCCCTCGATCTACATCAGATTTTTTAAACATCTCCACTGAACTGGAACGTAGTCTTTGAGAGGAGGCCTGACAAAATAAAAGCAAGAAGACCGTCGCAGCTTGAGTTTACTTCAGCCTGCTCTGGTTCTGGTGACTGGTTAGAGCACAACGCCAAACTGAACCAGATCTGAGCCAAAGGATCTAACTCCAGGGATCACTTTTAGGTTTTATTACCATCCAATGGGTAAACAAGACTACCAATCCCAGAATGCACTGGGAGGGGCAAATCACTTCCCTTCCACTCTTACGTTATTGTGCAGCAGAGACCTGAAGCCAGCATCTGAACATGCTTAGTGCCGAGTTCACGCACACCCGGAGCTCAAGAACACAACGCAGCAGCTCCTTACCGGGACAACGGAGAACGCCTGGTTCAGGATGCCATCGTTCATGAGCTTCTTGTAGATGTAATCAGCAGCCTGGCACATGCCCTGCAGGAGACACTGGTCTCTTAGCAAACACACACTGGACTGAGAAGGAAACCTCCTCAGAGACAGCCTCACCTTGTGAGCATAGCAGGCTCCAGACACTCCCTCTATGGGCAGGTTCTCACACTCAGCCGACAGGTCCGTTATCACATCCTGCAGGATTCACACCAACATCACTGATCACAACAAACACTAGCCTACGAGGTTTAGGGTCGTGGACTGGAGCGGCTTGATTATAGCAGGGTTTCTGCAGGTTTAAGGGAGCCGCATTTAAGACTTTTTAAGACCTTTTTTAAGGCCACTTTGACCAAATTTAAGCTATTTTTAAAATTAAATTTAAGCTATAATTTCCAGCTGTTGCCTGGAACCGGTGCTAACCACGTCACAAACGTGGGATTAGCCATCCAGTTACCATTAAACTTGCACTTCCCCATGGCGCAAGCTCCCACTAGCTTAACCAGCTAATGTGCTCATCTAAAAATAGTCCCCTTTCACAACCAGCTGAACGTGTACGGTTCCGCTTACGCCAACATCGTACACAAAAAATACTGAACACCAACTAGAAATTCATTAAAATTTTATAGAAATAAAAGAATCTTGTTTATTGGGTCTTTGGTAATTTAAGACCTCTGGAAATTGTATTTTTTTTTTCATTTATTGACATTAAAATAAAAATACAGAACTAAATTGCTACAAACCAAAATGAAAAAGGGGACAGAAAGAAAAAAAACGTAAGTTATCTGCCCCTTTTAACTAAAATAACATTAATACAAATGAAACAATCACTTAAGGATTATTTGTAATTTTTAAGGATTTTTAGGGCCTTAAATTTGGAAAAGCTAATTTAAGACTATTGAAAGACCAGCGGATGCCCTGTACATCAGAGAAAAGGAACAAACATGAGTTTAGATGTTTTGGCAACACTGTCACACCCATGGTGTGGGTTTTCAATTCCAGGGGCCTCATCACCTAATATCGGATCAGTCTGCATCTAAAGTCCGAGTCTGAGACCACCGGGTTCTCCTGAGATCTAACGATGTCCTAAAATGGACATGGACTTCTGCATGAAGAGGACACGGTCACTTCTGCCCAAGTCTCACTTTAAAAATCCTTTTCCTAATTAGACTCGTGACCTCAGCAGAGGACATCTGAAGGAAACGTATGAGCTCACTTTCACTGGAATCATCTTTAAGAAAAATAAACTTGTGGGGAAAAAAAACTTTCTATGAGAGGAAAATGTTCAGATTTGTAGGGAAGTGTATCCATAGCAACAGGACCCAGGTCTGGTTCTAGAAACACAACAGTGGAGGACAGCAGCTGTTCCTGAAGGTGAGCTCAGATTTGTCCCATCAGAACGCGTCAGCGCCACACTTCAGATGTAACTTTCAGTAGTTCACAACATCAAAAGGTCTCAGATTAAAACTCAGCGGTGGAAATGAATTCCTTCTAGGAATAATCGGCCCTTCTTCTCAGCTTTGCTGATCTCACCTAGCACACCTCACTAACCTTCAGCGACAGCGTTCCTCTGACCGCCACGACTACCGCCTCCTTTTGATGATCCAGCGCCACAAAAAAAGGGATCTGGTAGATCTGAGAGACAGCAGGAGCGTTTAAGCAGAAATCTGTGTGTGTGTGTGTGTGTGTGTGTGTGTGTGTGTGTGTGTGTGTGTGTGTGCAACATATGGCTAATGTGATGGAACACACACCTGGTTGTGGAAGCTGACATGAATGAAGTCTCTGTACTGCAGTCCAGTGGTTTGCAGGATGGAGGAGAAATGGCAACCAAGGTGGTCCCCTCCGATGATGTCATAGTCAGCAGCTCCAGTTCTGCAGCTGAAACATGAGGGTCAGCGTTCGGACCTCTGAGACAGCATCACGGCACGTCTGGACAGTCACACAGCATCTCACCAGTCTCCGCCGAGTCTGCAGGGTCCAGTGAGAGGGTTGGAGAAAACATACAACGGCCAGCCGTAGGCCGATGCAGCAAACCGCATGCAGTGGGCTGCGTTCTCCAACTCCACCTGCAAGTCGTGCTCCTTCAGAAAGAACACGGGGGTCTACGTGAGTCGTGCTGCAGTGCTGCTGTCTCCTCTGAGCTCTGCTCCAGCTGGGTCACTTACAACAGGAGAGGAAGGGCTGTGAGAGACCAGCGCCTCTGGGTCTCTGCTGCGCTCCATCTTGTCCTGCTCCTGGTGCAGCAGAGCCAGACCTGCAGCGATGTCACTGGGAACCAGGTCGGTGTCCTGTGGAACCGTTACAGAGTGTGTTCAGGCTCAGTCTGCAATTATTCTTTTAAATTGTAAAACACTTTGTCTCTGCAGCATTTAGAGCAGATGAGGTCACAGTACATGTTCCTTACAGAGAAGAAGTCACTGAAGAGCTGCGAGATGCTGGAGAACGCTGCTCTGTGGCTCTCGTCCTGAGGCAGACAGCAGCACAGGAGGCGCAGTCGGCTCTCCCACACCTTTACAGCCAGGGAGCGAGCTGTGGACAGGAACTGGGTGCCCCCGCTGCTCTCCAGGTCTCGCACCCCCAGTGGCTCCATGGGGCCATGCTGAGAACGGGGGTTTCCCAGGGGGTCGAACACAAAGACCACACCCAGCCCCGTCAACAGCAAGATGATCCAGCTGTGGTGACAGCAAAGAAAGAGGCTACAACAAAACGAGTCTCTGATTAGTGAAAACACCACAAGGACGTGTAGCAGGCCCTACCTGGTGACCACAGCAGCAATGACTGAGCCCACTGTTGCTGGGTCACAACCTCGACTGTCATCGGACACCCAGATGGCTCCCAGACAGGCCCACACCAGCTCAGGGATATAGAGCATAGCTCGCAGGTAGACCAGAGCGGGCATGGAGCGCCGTGCGCCTGGGTTAGTAATGGTGCCTGAAGGAAGAAGCCACAGGGACCAGTGAAATCCACACAAACACAACAGTGACTGGGGGGTGTTTAAAGGATAAAAACAAATGTTGTCTACCATCAGCATGAACTCACACAACAACCCACAAAGGAAAATACTGAATAGGTATCACTCAGGAGCGTCTGATCACCACCAGAGCTCCTCTGTAAAACCTGTTTTAGCTGATCTGGAGCATACTGGGGTGTGTAGCTCACAAGGGTTAAAGGTCATGTAGAGTCTAATTCCTTGCAGAATGGGAAATGGATGGTGACCCCTTAACAGAAGGCAATGCAGGGTCATGGGGCTGTCTGGCCTGGAGTGTGTTTCTTAAAGGGTAAAGCTGAAATTAACACAAAAGATGTGAGTCTAGAAGGGTCGATAGGCATGTCTTTAGAAGCAGCTGTGGGAGGAACTGGGGGTTTCTGTAGTCTGACAGCAGAGTGTGGACCTGTGATGATGTTGGATGAGTTCATGTCAGACCGATCTAACAATATAAACTCCTTCATCACAGGTTAAAGGTCACTTCAGAACAATCTGAATGATAAAACATGGCTTGCCTGGGATGGCTGAGGTTTGTTAATCTGAATGAGCATGAAGATGTTTACCCATAATGCATCATGTTTGGGAACTGGTAGAGACAGGGTTGTTTTTTATGCTGTGAAACACAAATACCTTTGTAATGAATGTGTGATCCTGTAGCACAAGTGACACACTTCCTGTTTGCACGTGTTTTACCATCACTGTAAACTCAAGATCACATCTCCACAGTGAGGGAGTGTAGGTGAAGAGTGGGTAGTTCGGTTACCTTGGGCACTAACGTACACAATGGCACATAGCGAGAGGATGATGAGGGCCAACACAACCAGCAGGCCAATCAGGTAGCTGTTCAGCACCCCTCTCCCGTTACAGTCCAGATGACCCTGGTGATAGAAGAACAGGGTCGCCGTTCCGATCCACCTGCAGACAAACAACACCAGAGACCAGATCCGGTTCAGGGACCGCGGGCTTGAGGAGACACGTGAAAGTGAACCACGTACCAAATCACACGTAGGAACAGCTCAAATGAGCCGGGGAAGACCAGGTCATCGCTGGCGATGCCCCACCGCCGGCCAAACGCCACCATTCCAGGCATCCTGCTGTTGAACTAACGGGCGTGTGGGGGGAACTGGTTTGGTTCGCCACTACACCACCACCAGGACACTCTTGAGCAACACACACACCACGTTAGGCATGACTTCACCGACAAACCAGCGTCAACACCCATTGGCAACGATCTTCGCCCCGTCCTGTCCCATTGTTATATTTCCTCGATTGCGAAAGTTTCCTGTTTGAGCCCGACGGTCAGCGGGGAACCTCTAACAAACAAGCTAACGAGCCAAAGACAGAATGACTGGTGTCATGTCGGGTTTCTGTTAGCTACTTTACCGTGCAGCTGATGGCAGCGAACACAAACACATACAGCTGTGTTAACGATAAGCTGCTAACTTTAGCTCCCTAGCTAAAAAATACCCTAAAGCTTTTCCGAAAAAAGGCTGTAAACTCCGCGTGAGCGTGACTGACAACACGGTTCTCAACACATAACGCGGCCTATAGTAACCACTGTATGTGGAAAAGTAAAGTATTAGTACTGATTTTTAAGTAAAAGCAAATCTGATATTTTTTCCAGTACTGTTAGGGTGTCCGCTCTATATAACTCCGACTGCAACACAAAACCAGTACAGTAGTTCCGGTGTAGAAGATATGTTTTTTTTATTTTGTTCTTAGCGTATTTTATCATTGTTTTTATGAAACAATGACAATGAAAGAATTGTGTACAGCAAACATTACAACAATTGTTTCCAACAGCGGGTATACATTTAAAAGCTAAAACTTTCAAAACAGTTGATACAAAAACATACTGCAGTGGTAAATAATCATCGACATATATACGCGCACAAAAATACAGAACAAGAAGAAAACAAGGGGCTGTAGCTCGTAACGAGTCATTACTTTTGTCTCGTTCTATGTTTTGTCTGTTTTACGCCTGGGACACACCCTAATCCCCTAACCTTTACAATCTCATGATATCCCTAGATAAGCAATCAACTGATATTAAATAAATACTGAAGATTGTCGCCGTTGTTCACGTGGTTCCATGGTGTAATGGTTAGCACTCTGGACTCTGAATCCAGCGATCCGAGTTCAAATCTCGGTGGAACCTGACCTTTCTTTTCGGCTTAACCTATCAAAACGATGCCGCTGTAATAACATTAAACTTTTCTTTTCTCGTTTACTGAGCAGAACCGTCACGCTACGAAACAGTGGAACCCTAGACGTGAAGTTGCATCGTTACGACAACGTCATTCCAACATGGCGGCGTGCATAGGTCGACATTCGTATTTACTTTGCTGCGCCGGAGGACTAAATGTGCGTTTACCTCACAGCAAACTGAGGGAAGCAGCAGCGATACTTCATTATAACATCTGCACTTCCAGGGGCTGTTATGGCTCTCGAGAGAGAAACGAAACGCAGGTTGGTGAAAGATAAAACAGGCCATCGAAACATCTATTAAAATGTTGTTAGGTCTGCTGATGATCCCACATCCTTGCACCCAAACAGCATCGTCAGTCACCTTTTGGAGAGGGTTTCATGAGCAAACTCTGCTTAGAGAAATAAATTTCCACCTTCATCAGTTAGACGAGCACTGGGTGTCTGTCTGCTGCAACACACCAGTTGTGATTTTACTTTTTGTTGACCACATTTTAACACTGATGTACAGTAACGCAGCATGCGGTGTGTCCTTTTGCAGGACACTGGGATTCAAGTTCCAGTTGGTAAATATACACAAGTATCCTTTAAAGGTAGAGACGGATGTGTTTGTGTGCTTTATCCTCGCTTGTCTCCTTTTGTGTGACAGACCGACTGACGGTCTCCTACAGCAGAAGCAGTGGACCTGGGGGTCAGCACGTCAATAAAGGTCCTCAAAGGTTTATTTTATACATTGTGCACAGTGTCACTTACTAAAGCAGGATGTTGTAATACAGCAGTAAATATTAACTATTGGGTAAAATTACACGCTGACACTTAAGTCACTGCAGTGGACCTCTTTACACGAGCTCATTGAAACATGTCCCCTCTGTCTCACCGTCTCTTGCTTGTCCCATCGTCCTACAGCTCACAAACAGGAGGTTTCAGCATCTAAAGACAGCGTGAGACGCTCATACCGTGTTGAGAAAGTCACAGATTCCAAATTCCACGTTTTTAAATGACAGTTTTCATTTCCAGTCCCACCATTCTGTTTTCTGCTTTATGGAAATCAACGTGATTAATGAAAGAAGTTCTAGAATCCTAGGGATTGTTTAGAATTTCAGTTTTTAATCCACAGTCAGCACCAAAGCAGAGGTCCGATTCCATGTGCACACGGCAGACTGGATCCCTCACGACGTTCGACAAAAGATTCTAGAAAAGGTTTGATTGTCCGACTGGTCCTTTATTCTGTTCCCACTTCGCCTCACGCGCAGTTGATTTATGAAGTCGTCGGTAAATTCAACAGAACAAGAACCGGATCAACAAGGCAGGGGAGCTGCTGGTGACGTCAGAGACGAGCAGGAGTCAGCAGAGAAACCTCTCTGATTGTATCCAGAAGATCTCTTCCATCATAGCAGAGGCCAGCGAGAAGCCTCGTGAAGCTACAGCGGAAGAGTCGGCTGTAAGAGCAGCCAGGTCAGAAAACACGTCAGCTTTCCATCTGTAAAGGTGTCATCTGATGTGAAACGTGTTGTGCAGGTTAGAGAAGAGGAACAAAGAGAGACTCAAGGAGAAGAGAATCCATTCAGCCACCAAGCACAGCAGACATGTAGAGTTTGACTGACGGAGGGTAAAGTCGTCGAGTCAAACCTTCGTCTTGTTCAAAATCAACTTCTGTATAAATATAAATAAACGTAACAAGAACAGCGTTTTGATTTATTTCATGTAGTTTTCACACAAATTAAATAATGAAGTGGTGGGGGCTTAGCCAGCACCGCTGCAGGATGGAACTGATAGAACCAGGTAAATGACCTCTGACCTTACACGGGTCACACAGCCAGTGGGGTTGAAGTGCTGATGTTCCTTTACCAGTTTGGTGGTGGAGTGGCTGGTCTTTGTGTGGGTCTGACAGGAAGGAGCACCCCTCCTCTAGAGAACTTGTGCACTGTACTATGGAGGAGGATTAGGGCCATTGAAAAGAAAAATAATTTTTACTTTAATCTTTTAAAGGTGTGGTTCGAGCTTTGGGTAGTGACCAAAAGAACAAGATCGCAGATGGAGGCGGCTGATATGAGTTTTCTCCACAGGGTGGCTGGGCTCTCCCTTAAAGATAGGGCGAGAAGATCGGTCATCCGGGAGGGGCTCAGAGTAGACCCGCTGCTCCTCCACGTCGAGAGGAGCCAGTTGAGGTGGCTCGGGTATCTGGTTAGGATGCCTCCTAGACACCTCCCTGGTGAGGTTTTCTGGTCACGTCCAACCAGGAGGAGACCTAAAGGGAGACCCAGGGCACGTTGGAGGGACTTTGTCTCTCGCTTGGCCAGGGAACGCCTTGGGATTCCCCTGGAAGAGCTGGGCCAAATAGCTGGGGAGAGGGAAGTCTGGGCCTCTCCACTTAGGCTGCTGACCCCGCGACCCGACTCCGGATAGGAGGAAGAAAATGGATGAATGGATGGAAGGATGGATGTGTGGTTCACTGAAAACATTATTTAATTATTGCTTCTGATTATAATCGGTCACTGAGTTTGTCAAGCAGGCTGAACGTGAACATAGTCTCCTACACATATCTCCTGCATAAGCTTCTGATAGAAAATAGACAATGAAAACCTGACAGATCTACGTCAAGCGGTCGCTTGGACTCAGCCATACTGGCTTGTGGCAAGGAAGGCTGTTGTTGGTCCAGAATACCAGCTCCACCACACAGCAGAACACCTCCAGGTTTGTGTTATTTGTGGGGCTAAAACATCAATGTCGCAGTTGCTGATGTTATCCAATCCGAGGAGAGATGTCCAAATATCAGGAAATAAGACTAAATCCTGCCGTGTTCAGCTCTGATGTGACAAACTTGTCCACACTGATTCAGACATTTCTGTTTACGACTTGCAAGGCATTCATTTCTACCAGAGACCACTGCAAATGTGTAGATTAAATGAGTTTCCCACACCTTTTACAACTTTTACTTACTTACTTACTGTTTCTACTGTTTGTACTTTTGTGCAGCACTTTGAGGCAGCGTGGACTGCTAAATCTGCTATAGAAATTAACCTTGACCTTAATTTCAGAATTCTGACTTTTTCTCTCAGAATTATTACTTTTTGATTTCTGAGGAAATGTCCGAATTCTGAGACTAAAGTCAGAACAAATTTCTTTCTTTTTTATTTTCAGTGGCCCTAATGCTCTTACTATGAAAACCAGAAATAACACAAATATTACTAGCCCCCAAACATCTAGCCCATAAGCTATTCTTCCTCTTTCCTTCAGGGAAAGAAGCAGCCTGAAAGCCTGGATCCTCATGGTTTCAGATGATTGTTGAAGGCTGTAACTCTCATGCAGTTAAATCACAAATTACTCTATATTTGCTGCTGCATACATCAAACATTATCATCAAACATATAATGCATGTTAAGCTAAAATAAGGTGGAGGGGTGAAACATAACGCTAACGTGGATAAAAACAAATTATCAACCACATTATTTAAAAACTAGCAGAGGATGGTTTCGATCCATCGACCTCTGGGTTATGGGCCCAGCACGCTTCCGCTGCGCCACTCTGCTCTCGTTGTAGCACGAGTCGTACTTTTTTGTATTAATAACATTTTCCGCGCAGTGTTTTTATGGTATGAGATGATTTTAATGACCAGATGATACGTTAGTGGTTCAAACGATCTGTTTTTGTTCAAGTTCCGGTATTTAGTCCAGGCCTACTGACTTCTACTGGCAAGATGCGACTTTTACATCTGGAAAATGAAAGTTACTTTAAATATGTACACAGGTTAGCTTAATGTTTACGTTTACGTGAACAGATAATCTCAAAAAATCATAACCAGTAACATAAAAACGACCACGAAGGGACTCGAACCCTCAATCTTCTGATCCGAAGTCAGACGCCTTATCCATTAGGCCACGCGGTCTACGTTGTACCGATGGACCACCATTACGTAGATATGGCTGCGCTTGATGAGTTAGCTGCGGCGTTTCCTATTGGCTTAAAAAAAGTGAAATGAATGTCGCCCTCCAGTGGCGACATGCCAGAACAAACCTCCAATTAAACCTTCTGTGTAGCTCATCTCATGCTAACTGCGTCAGCTAGGTTCTTAAAATGATGTTTAAGAATTTACAGTATTTTACTGATTCATGTTTGATTTAACTGGGTCGACAATTGAGTCTTTTTAATTATTATCACGTTAATACAAGTTGTTGTTTCAGCAGAAGGCACAGAAGTTTAAAAAGGTAAAGAGGTTAAAGGTTACGAACTTCAGGACAATCGTTATGGAAGTGTTGTGATTATGTAAAATCTATATGTACGTGTGTGTGTCCTCGTCTGCTGGTGGCGGTGGGAGGAAGCAGTGGACATAAACTATGATGTCACACAGAATAAAGAAAACAGACGCATTTAACAAACTCTTTATTTAGAGTCGATTTAGGCCGGTCATACTTCTGACATTTTTATGACAATACAACTTTAAGCTGGATTATAAATTCAGTATGAAAATTAAACAGTTCTGAGATTCACATGTAAGAACTGGCAAACAAACCTCCCAAAAATACACAGGTAGAATGCTAGAGGACCCATTTTAAACATGTAAGTATTCCGCCTCTTCAGGATGAAACCCCTTGATGAGCAGCAGACTTGTCTAAGACAATACGAGCAACAGCTGCAGCTTCAAGACTTTATTTCTGGTACTATTCACGATTATGACGCACAAATGAGAAAACCTTAAGTTCTGTCTCAGAACATTGGAATTTTGTAAAATCTCTAAAAGGTCCCAGTCTGGGTCAACAGGCCACACCATCATGCGGGAGACTGCTGACTGGACACCTTCCACAAGAAGAAGAAACCACAGAAGGCATTGCTGAGGAAGCAGCTTGTTCTCGGAGGGATGTGTCCATGATCCTAGAGAGTTAGGTGCAGCAGCAGGGAGAACTGCGGCCTTGGGAGGACCAGCAAGCTTCAAGAATGTGGAGGAGCTTCACCGGGAGTGGATTGATGCTGGAGTCAGAGCATCAAGGGCCTCTACACACAGACCGGCCCCACACACGACGTCCGTTCTTGTAATGAGTCCATAGAACATAACAGTTTCACTTTCTCACTGGAGAGACCAAAACTGGTTCTTGATATTCTAGCTTTCGGATCTTTGTGTATTTTTCATTTCCTTTCGGCCTAAAAGCCTCCGAGGCCTTTAATCCACCACAGCTGTTCGGTATGGTTAAACTACAGGAGCTATAAAAGGAGTTTGTGTCAACTCTAGTTCAAAAATCAGGTATAAAACATCAGCTAGCAACAGGTGTTAAAATAACATCAGGTTTTCCACAATAAAGGCATCCCAGACTGGTTTGGGTTGGTCGGGTTTAGTAAGAGTGCTGGGTGTTAAGGACAGCCTGGCTACGGGTCACAGATCAACAACACAACGAGTTAGTTAGTCAAGCTTTAGCTAAAGCACAGCTGCCTCAGCATCTGGAGACCAGAGATGTCTTCAGTCATGCTGATTAAAGTATCTCATCAGCGTGTCAAGTGTATGACTAGTGTAAAGAGCTTTGGAGTCCTTGAGCTCAGAAAGTCATGCAGGTCATTTATCATCATATCTGGTAAATGCGGTGGCTGACTTCCTGTATTTGCCTGACTTCATCCTGATTCTGTTGCTATCTCACTTCGGCGCTCTGTGCCAGCATGCCCTTCTGTGTTCCTCCTCAGTAAGGGCAGTAGCTTTCGGCTTTCCTGGTGATCAGTAAGGATGCTCTAGATGGGAATATGTTTGCAGGAAGGACAAAAAAATGAGTGAAAACACCACAAATCTGTTTAAAACTACAAATAAACTCTTTTGTTTTGAATGTCACAATTGAAAGCTTCCTCTTTTAGCCGGGCCTGGACCAGGAAACCCCAAAGGAGATGTTCTGGTAGCCCAGACGTCTAAACCAACCGTAGACCAGTCACACTAATCGTAGGTCTACCATTGGCCCAAACAGCTTAAACCCCAGCCAATCACAGCACTCCACGTTTGTACAGACGTTTTGCAGGTTTAGCACCAGAGCAATGATGGAGAAAAACTACAAATATGGCATTGGTTCAGGATGGCTTTGGCATCAATTTTGAAGTCCTTGAGTTAGAAAAAGGAAATATGTTTTTTTAACGGCTGATGAATGAGTCATGTTGTCTGTTGCTCTGATTGGTCCTAGCGCTGTCTAAATGCATGCAGACCGCTTGAAATACAACCCTAGAGTCCGCCCCACGACTGGGTTGTCTAGGTGTGATGTGATGGTCAGACTCCATTAACAGGGTGGTTAGCCAGGATAGCCCTCTGGTTGATGCAGTCAAGGATTTCTTTTGTTTAGTAAGAAGTCCATTTTGGTTTTAGCGTTATGCACGTGCACACACACACACACACACACACACACACACACACACACACACACACACACACACACACACACACACACACACACACACACACACACACACACAGAGTGGACAAGGTGGGACAGACAGCAACGGCTTCAGGCCTGCACGGTTCAGTCTGGGTGACGAGGGGTTAACACACGAGTGTTCGATTACACGATAAGTTGTTCGGTTTTTTCATTCGTTTCTCTTTTGAAAGGAAGTCTCTAGAAGGGTTCTAGAACTCGACTCGAATGCATTCCTTCAAAGAACAACGGGGCATTGATCAACGAGCCACCCAGTCACACCCACTTCGAATTACAAAGTAAAAATCAAAATAGAATTTCTGTATCAAAAGGTGAGCGCGAGTTTATCAGCTTTAAAGGTCCACGACCACACAACATCCACTTCTTGGAGCTTCGACCATGTTCTATTGTTGTTCCCTCGTGACCCCCCCCCCCCCCCCCCCCCCCCCCAGCGGTGCGGTCTCTGGCTCTGCAGCTGCGTACTAATGTGGAATTCACCCGGTTGGAGGTGAGACTTAACTGATTCAAAGCATCTTATTTCCGAGTGGAGCAGACATCCCACCGTCGCTCTGGGAGGTGTAAAATAGCACGACACAGGCTCTGTAAAGTTGAGATAAATTACTGGGGATGTCCTGATCTGAGCGGGGTCCTGATCAAGGAATTTGTTGACAGGATTCAGATCAGCATCACAAAACTCATCTCCACATTTCTGTTACTGACCCACTCTCTCTGGTTCTACATCAGCTGTTCTGGAATAAGACACCAGAGGTCTGCTGGGCTGCAGGAAAGTTCTCCTTCAGCCAGGAGAAGGCGGCAGCCTCAAGGAGACAGCCAGAGGGAATACTGTGAGAGCAACATTGAAAATCTCTAAGCTAGTTTCACTTTCACACGGATTAAGACCAAATCCCCATCTTTAACCATCTAATAGTAGTTCCCCGTTTTCAGCTGAGTTCAGAAACACCTCCGAACGCCTGCTTAGCTGTTTGTTGGCAGCGATATTTAGTCAACACTAAAGAGGAAATAACAGAGGGCTCACAAGCAGTGATCAGTTTTTACAACCGAGTTTATAAACCACACAGACCATGGTGACCTGTGTAGATACTGTCTCCCTACGCCGTGATCCTCCACAGGAACCCAGACGAGGAGTAAGGTGGTGTTCCTCTTTCCATCAAACTCTCACACATGCAAACAAATGTAAAATCTTAAAGGGTCAGAGGTCACAAGCTTATAAAGGCAGGTGAGAGTGGTGATCTGACCCTCATGTGGGCCCATCTGGTCCTGAGAGAAGACTGAATCCAGCTGAATCTGATCTGAGCCACTGGACTGTTGGACGACATTTGGGAACATGTTGGCATTTTGATCACAAAACTCAGACGGTAATCGTAATATTTATTTTTTCTAATACTGCTGACTAGCTAAATGAACCAAACGGCTAATCTGTTAGCAGTGATGGGATCCGACTTAGACTGAGTGTCAGTAACAGCACACTTAGTTTTAGATTTCCCACCAAAACGAGGCGGTTTTTCAGGTTTTTTGATCTTGTAGCTCATGATGGAGGCCCACTGCAGCAGCTGAATACACCAGAGGAGAAGGAAAAGCATCAGGAACAAGCTTCAGAGGTGACTGCATGCTAACCTGACCTGACTGGACCTGATCTGCTGTGAACGGCTCCTTCTTCACTAATCCAAGCGTTTAACACTGAAAGAGTAACGTAGCGGTGTGTTGCCGAGGCGACCGGAGGTGTTTACGGTTTACTGGATTTGCCAGATTTGCCTGACTTGCTAGCTTTGGCAGCTTTGGTGGCTTTGATGTCCATCTTGGTCTTCTGGATACGGGAGAAGATCTCCTTGAAGAGGGCCTTGTACTCCGGAGTGTTCTGCCCCAGCCGCTTATCCACCGCCTCCACCTGTTTGCTGATGCTCTCGATGGCTTCAGGCGTGGAGGGGGACTGGGTGGGTGTGGGAGGAGGTGCCGGGGTGGGGCCCATGGCACAGTCTTTCATGGATGGGTCCCTGGAGACGGGTCGCGATGTCTGGACCCCAGCATGACACAGGCTCTCCTCGTGCCTCCTGCACTTCCCAAGCAGCTCCTCGTATTTCTCCAGCAGGGCGTGGTACTGCTCATCCACCTCCCTGAGGATGGACATCCCCCTCTTCCTCACGCTGTTGGCATGGAGGGCGTAGCTGCCTCTCCTGCGACCGGACGCGTCCCGGGCTACGATGGCGTTGAGCGCCGTGTCACTGCAGCTCTTCCTCACGGGGCTGGACTCTGGTAACGCCTCACCACCGACACCTCCTCCACCTTCGGTTTCCTCCCTCACACCTCCTCCTGTCTCTCCGACCTCCACCTCCAGGAAGGTGTCGGTTTCTGGGGCGATGCTGAGGACGGTCTGGGTCAGAGCCACGCCGTCATCCTCGCTGCTCAGGAGGAAAGTCCGAGCACGACGTAGCTGCTGCAGCTCCTGCAGCTCCACCTCCAACTCCCGCACCCTCGACTGGCAACTCTCCGCATCCTGGAAGAAAACGTTTCTTCAGAGATTGTAATAAAAACAATAACAACAACAATGCTGCAGCTCCAGGCCTTAATTAGAATCCTCTGACCTGGACTCGAGTTTGTAGACGTGAGAACTCAGCAATCAGGAGGTTGCACTCCTTCTCCGCCCCCTCCCTCCGACCCCTCTCGGTCCGGACGGCTGCTCTCAGGGCCGACACCGCCTCCCGCAGGCGCTGGTTCTCCTCCTCAAACGGGGGACGTTTGGCCTCCAGAGTGAAGCTCTCAGCCCTGCCCACCACAAACTCATCCTCATAGCTGATGGAAACGGGAGCAGCGTCAGCTGACAGGTCACAGGTGTTTAGAACGGTCACACACACACACACACACACACACACACACACACACACACACACACACCTGGGCGCTGTGCAGAGCTCCCTTAGGCAGGGAAAGGAGTGGATGGTCTTGCGCCTCTCCCTTTTCTCCCTCTTGACCCGGAGCTGCTCCATGGAGCGGAGCTGCTCCACCTGCGCTGACAGAAGCTCCACCTGATTCTGCAAAGCCTCGGTAGTTCCTGTCAGCCTGGGAAAAAAGGAAAAGCTGAGCTCTAAGGTGGGCTGAACCAGATAAGGACACAGAGGAGAACCCCCAGACCCGCTCACCTCTCGATCTTTATCTGAGAGGCTTTGCTGTCCGTCACTAGCGTGAGGTTGGTGCGCTCCAGTTCTCGGGCCGTCCCGTCCAGCTGCTCGTACACTTTAGCGTGCTGCTCGTTCATGTCCCGAAGAACCTCCAGCTGCTTGGTCAGGTACTGCAGAACAACAACGACACACTGATGTTCACATCCTTTCATCGGGAGCTGGAGCCGGGCTCAGGGAGCTCAACAGCCAAAGACAGCACCGTGTTTAAGGTCTCTGTTAGTTTCACCTTTCAGACAAAATCCTTCAGCGTGAGCAGGAAGTGACTAAAGAGTTAACAGAACCAGAGCAGGTACCTCAATCTCCTGCACCTGCTCCTCATTAGTGATGTACATCTGCTGCAGGGAATCCTCCAGCTCCTTGTTCCTCTCCAGCAGAGTCTTCCCCAGCTCGGCTGCCAGGTGCAGATCTGAAGAAGCAGAGAAGTGAGAGATCAGGCTCGGTTCTAGCAGGAGAAACAGAGAAAAGCAATAATAAATACCTGAAAATGTAAATTAAACCCGTCATTTTCAACTAAATCAGGCGAGATCTCACTCTGATGTCATAAACTGGACCAGTGGTGTAGTGGTAGACGTGTCCACTCAGACTGGGAGGTCGGGGTTCATATCCACAGTCGGGACATACCAGAGACTTTAAAAAGAGGTGAAACCACCAAGTAGGTCCCGAGCGCGGCCCTCGCTGCAGCTCACCGCTCTCCACGGGGAGATGCAACTTCACCAGTCAGTGTGTGATGAATTAATGAGACCCTAACTTTAAATGATTCTCAGCTCATAACACATCAAATGTTAGCTCAACATCTATGAAACTGAGCGATGGTCATTCTTGTTAAAGTTGATTAGCTGCGGCGGCCATCTTTAACTGGACTGAGTCGGCCTGTAGACGTCCACCCTGGGTTTGGACTCTGAAGGTTTTGTTTGGACCAGTCCGCTGGTTCAGGAAGCATCTGGCTAACACGACACGCAAAAATCTTTTCCCTTTGCAGCAAAGAGCTGAGATGAAAGGAAGGGAGGAGGGATGAAGATAAACGGCCGCTCTATTAATTCTGTAATTCCCGTTAGGATTAATAGAGCAGCTGTTCTATTTATAGTCCATTTATAATTGGGTCGATGACATCACCATGAGGAAGAGGCAGCAGGTTCTGCTCTGACTCGAGCTGAAGGTCAGATTAGAGCGGAGACCCACCACCATGGAGGCTGATCTAGGTTTACAGCTTGAATGAGAGTGCTGTTTTGGCACCGCCGCCTGTGAATGCACCTATGGAGGGAGCCGAGTCAGCGGGTTCTGACTCAGCAGCTCTGGAACCAACGGCCCAACAGAACCATCACTCCTGTCCTAAACGGCCTCCGTTAGGAGAAATGACTTTTACGTCCTACGGGACTCATGGGCTAAAGGCTAGCCTGAGCTAGTCTCCTACATGGTTCCTGTGACTCTAGTGCACACGTGTCAGTCTCACCCTTCATGGGTTTTATTCCTGGTTAGATGTTTTATTTAAGTAAAGATGCCGGTACAATTCCTGACTTTTAAAAGCAAACCTAAGAGAATGCGAAGTTCTTCTGGAGTAGACATGGATAATACGTCCTCAAATCCATATTGGGATACAATCGGAAACGCGTGCAGCAAAAATATTTATCCCAACATATTATTTTCTTCTGTTTAATTATGTCTAAATGACATTGATACACCCCGATGCATTCTCACATACCACATAAACTGCAGCACAACAAATATTGCTAAAAAGTATAGAATGTCATTTAAAGAACATTTAACATGGGAGAGTTATTAAAAATACAGAAGCTTGCAAGTAATTTTATGTTGTGTTATGATTCTGTTTCCAAACACTGCAACACAAAAAAGGAATAAAGAGAAAGGGAGGAGCTGTTTTCAGACTAGCACTTTATTAATGAACGGAAGAATCGGCTGAAACTGCAGAAGGAAAGTTGTTCAAACTGAATCACAGGAGACGTCTGGAAGAAAGGTAATGTGTGTTAACACTAGCGTTGGGTACTGAATTCAGTACTTTTTAAGGTACCGACTGAATTCCACGGCACCGACTGAGCACCGATTCACATAATCTGAAACGGTGCCTCGTTTCGGTACCCGTCCTTCATAACGAGAACTTGCCTAGACAGCTGCGCATGCGCAAGAGAGTTATGTCGTCACTCGCTGCGAGCGAGTTGTAAACAGAGCAGCATGGTAGAAAGAACACACGCGAAAGCTTGGGTCCACTTCACTAAATGTGATGGGTAACTGGGTGATGATGAAACCAGCGACAACGATCTAAGTGAGACATCCTCATCTTAATCTGCTCCGGTAGGTAAATAAAATGTTTAAGATAACGTTAGCTTGATATGTTAGCTTCCCTTCCGCTAATGGTGCGTTCGTTTTCTCCTCGGAACTCCGAATTTCCGACTGGAATAACATGAACGCGCTCTAAAGTTTTGCTTCACTTTACTAAATGCGACGGGTGATTGGGTGAAGATGAAACCAGCGACAACGATCTAAGTGTGAGGCATCATCGTTTAAATCTGCTCCAGCAGCTAAATAAACTGTTTAAGATAACGTTAGCTTGATATGTTAGCTTCCATTGCCACCGTTGTTATCAGCTAATGGTGCGTTCACTTTCTCCTGGGAAATTCTAACTTTCCAGTAGGAAAAATCAAATGAACAAGGACGGCAAAAGGAATGAAGATACAGTAAATTTAGTTCACAGTAAAAATGTTTGCTTCAGTTTAATTATCACTTATAAAACTACAAGGACGAGGTTAAAATACAAACAGTTGAATGTTATTTATCGTGATATTTATCAAATATTGTTATATATTGAAAAAAATATGTATTTAATTATAAAAGAGAATTGAAATATGAAACACTCATAAGTATCTAAAATTGGTACCGTTAAGTACCGGTATCGATTCCTAGGTACCGGGAATTAGTACCGAATCGATACAAATGTCAAAGGTACCATACCAAAGGTGTTAACCCACACTACCATATCCAAATACTAGTACAGTCTAATCCTAGATGAGACTGAATTAATGAGCGTTTCTGATGATTCTGTGTAGAACCTTTTCCTGTCCGCTTGACTCACCAGACTTTCACCTTGGTCCAACACGTGATTGGTTTTGAGGTGATAAAACACATATTAGCTCTTTTCACTAACACTGTCGCCCGCCACACTTTAGTGAGAATGATTACTACCTCAAGCCCAAACCAGGTCCCTATAACCAACGTTACTCCTTCCTCACGAGCACTTCCTCATCCGACCACTCCACGCTGCAGCAGCGGTCGCTGCTTCATCCACACGCAGCTGGACAACATTCATTAATTTCGATTGGCTGGTAGAGCTAAAGCCTCGACTGTTAGCTAAATTTATGTCATTTAATCTGTGTAAAGTTTAAATTCCTCTTTAATATTCTGGAGTTCTATATTTATTCATTGTCATTCGACTTACTCGGAAGTCCGGATTTCCACGTTACGGGGACCAATTGCACGGTGAGCTACCGGGAGAATCTGAAGGCAAGGTTCCATTACTATAGGTTGGTCTTTAGGTCAGAGGAGAGAACCACATCTGGGTCCCTCACCGAAGCTCTCACTCTCCAGATCTGACCTGACATCGATATAAATTCTGATCAGAAAAGTATTAAGTACTAAAATGAAAGATCAGGCGTGTTCTTTTGGTGGGTGTGTTTAACCATGTAGAGGCCTAAACCCTCCCCATAACCTCAGTGACTCCTAAACTGGGAAAAGTGAGGGAATTAAAACAGTCACACCCTTATGTGGGCCCTGGCTGGTGGGGTGTACCACAAGAAGAGACCTGTGAGTGTAAATGTGAACGAGCAGATCAATCAGGAGAGGCAGGGGACGAATCAATAAAAAAAGAACAGCTTATCAACGGTCAGACATGTTTACTTAGGAGACCTGAACGCTGGCAGACAAATGGATGAATGAATAACTCCTCCGAAGCATCAACAGATCTATCCTCCAGGTTCCTCATTTAGAGACAGGCTTGTGTCTAGGACTGATCTGCTGGTTGTGGAGCACCATCTAGCCCCGCGGTTCTGACCGTGCTGATGTCTTCAACAGCTGCCTTGTTTCCGTAGGTCCACGTCACCCATGAGGCTTGCTGGAATGTGAAAAACAAAACATCTCCTGTGTCTCCCGTCCTCCGCTGCACAAACATTCAGTCACCAAAACCGACTTTTTACAGTAGAATACTTTCTCTGTAATTTAGCTTTTTAGTCTTCTAATCTACCCAATGTTATCTAAAGAGACGTGGTATCTGTTAGTTTATTCGTTTAATTAAATCATTAAACTTGTTCTTATTTTCACATCTTGGTTGTTAACCAGTGAATCTTGTTAACGCGTGGCTGGCTCACAGGCACATCCTTCCTGATTAAAGCTTGAAATTTGAGCTAAAAAAGACGCACAACTAAACTCTTCATCCTTAAATTACTACCTTAGCTACCTTTGGTTTAGAACAATGGAGAACCATTATGCTTCCTCAGTTTTTCAGGCACTAATTTCAGTCATTCAAGCAGAAGTGTGCTTGTGAAATGACCCTCTCTAAGTAAAACACACACTAACAGGTTAGCTTTGAGCGTCGTGGTCCATCTTTCAGGCTAACTAGGGTAAAAAGTGATTTTGATCTATTTTAGCCTGTTTTTACCATCTTTTATATATTATATCAGTGTTTTATTACTTACTCTTTTAATTAAATAACACATATTTAACTTATAATAATGATTAGTTTTAACCAGCCTTAATACTGTGTTGTACAATATTTTATAAATGTAATTATATGTTTCTATTTGGTTATCTTTTATCACTGTGTTTTATTTAGATTTTTATTTATTAGCTGTTTATGTTTAATTTGTTTCTTAACTTGTTATCTTGGTCTCATTAGTAAACTAGTGTTTCCTCTGTGGGGGCCGGCTGCCCCGGGGGCAGCGGTGGGCTGTGGCGGCCGGGGTGCTTCCCATGTCTACTCTTGCCAAGGCTACTGCTGCCAGTCTTGGTGCTCCCGGTGCAGTTGGCTCCTTCATGGCGTTTTCGTCTTCTTTGTACCTACTACATCTGCACTCAGCCAGCCGCCCTTTCTCTATTACGTGTGTGTGTGTGTGTGTGTGTGTGTGTGTGTGTGCGGGAGTTTGCATCTGCTTGGGATGGGATTGAGGGAGGGAGGAGGGAGAAACAAAGGGGATCTCTTATGTGAATCTGTGTGGGTGTCATGATTCGCCCCGGCCTCCCTGACTGTGTCGCTCCTACCGTAATTAGCCTTATTGTTCTCACCTACCCCTCGTTAACCTGTTAACCTTTTTGGAAAAAGCCATTTGAGTAAGCTTTATTTTGAAAAAAAAAAAAAACCAAACATACAAAAAAACTCAATGGTCCGACCCCTTTTTTCAGGCTCCGCCCAACAGTCACAGATTCTGATGGTTGCAGAAAATGGCACAACACTGGCTTGTGACACAAACAGCTAGCTTCCTGTTTGGCTGCTCAGCTGAGTACACACGACCTGGACACAAGAGGGTGTTGTGTGCAGCAGGGTGAACAAATGCTTTGCTATGTCCTGGCGCCGGCTCGACTCCCAGTGTCGGCAGTAATTTATTTAACCAGCTGAAGTGGATTTAATTCTTTGTATATTTTAGCTTTATTTATTAATTTCTGCAAAATATTTGTGTCTCCGAAGACCTTTGAAATTGGTCGATTCCAAACAGCATTTAATTTGATAATCTGCTCACCTCACATAGACCCACACGGGCTAAATAAAGCAAGATAGTAAAAACAATGATTAGTCCCACAATTTTAAACTGTTTACTAGGGATGTGAATCTTAGAGCAACTCACAATTTGATTTGATTCGATTCAGATTCTTGGGGTGCCGATTCGATAGTTTAAATCGATTCACAATCAGTATTAACAAAGAGTGTCAGCTCCAGGATGAACTACTTTGCTGTACAAGTTAGTTAAAGCTATGGGACATTTTTATTTGACTTTAAACTGGTCATGCTCCAAAAATGCTAATTTACAAGGTAAACTTACAGTAAGTGATTCTAAAACTGTAAACAGAAGCAATCTTTTGACCAAAAGGCAACATTTATTTTTGCTTACCTTGTAAAATATAACAAACCTGTAGTTACCTAACAGTAGCTTTGAAAGTAATACGGTCAAATACTTTTTAAGTATCTGTGGAAACAAGTTACATGAGTAATCCTGAGTACTCATTTATCAACTTAGAAAATAAATATGAGAATATCTCAAATTTCTGAGTATGGAAAAAATTACATTCTAGTCCCCACGTGTCAGCAGATTCAAACATAAATCATCTCAATTTATGGGACCACAAAAGTAAACGGAGTACTGAATCTCCTAACAAAGATCAAAAAAGTGCATCTCAAACCTGTAACGTGCCAAATATTTCAGTTCTTGGAATCGATTCTGAACCTTTGTGAATCGATTCTGAATCTTTATAAATAAGAATCCCGAGTCAGACTTGAATCGATTTTTTTCAGCACCTCTACTGTTTATCATCTAAGGGTTGAAATCATAAAACTGACAATAGTAGCTTAAAAAGAAGAAAAAAAGTTACTGCAGAGACCGGAAAGTGAACCTGCACACACAACCGCATGCCAGGCTGGCATGCTAACCACTGGGCTAGCAAGTTTATTACAAATCAATGGTCGCTTAACACACGTCCTGTGCTGGCCATTACATGTGTCTTTGTGGACTGGACTTTCACAGCAGTTTTGTCCCTTATGCGGAAGTAATTTGTCCGAAAATCCACTCTGGTACCCGTGGAGGTTTAAATAGAATAGAATAGAATAGAATAGAATTTATTAGGGATGCTCCGATCCGATCACGTGATCGGAAATCGGGCCCAATCACGTGACTTTTAAAAGATCGGAATCGGGTGTTAAAGATCGGATTTAGCCTTATAAAACAACAAGCATGACATTTTTAATCAATCTTGAGTTTCAAATTGAATAACAATGGCTTAATTTTGTACCAAGTTTCACTTCCTCAATAACAACATGACAGCAGCCATAACGTCACACGTTTTAAAGTGGACCGCGGAATTCAGTTAGCAGTTAGCTAGCAGGCTAATGCCCGTCTCGCTCCAGGAGAGCAAAAAATGTCAGCGGTTTGGAGTCATTTTAAACTGGAGACCGAAGGCTGTCCAACAGCCACTTGCAACGTGTGCAAACTGAGTGTTTCACGTGGCGGAAAAGACAGAGCTGCTTTTAACACCACGAACCTGATCCGGCATCTTAAGAACAAACATCCAGCTCAATATTCCGAGTTCACCGCGGCAACGCAGATCAAAACATGGAGCCAGCCGACACTGGAAGCTATGCTGAAAAACAAAGAAAAACTTCCTAAGGATAGCGACAAGGCCAAGAACATCACAGCCAAGATAGCTGAATTTATTGCACTAGATGACCAGCCGCTGTCTGTGGTTTCAAACGTAGGATTTCGCCGTCTCATGGAGCACCTGGAGCCACGGTACGAGTTACCTTCTCGAAGCTACTTTACAGACAGCTCTGCCCAGCATTCACAACAAGCTACGTGACCACCTGTTAGTCATGTTATCAAAGGTGTCTGCTTTTGGGTTTACCACGGACATATGGAGTTCGTCTGTTTGTCCAATGTCACTGATCAGCTTCACTGCTCAATGGATCGACTCGAGTTTTAATTTACAACGTGCTACGTTAAATGCGCAACATTTTCGCGGATCTCACACAGCAGAGCATGTGAAACAGGCTATCGGAGATATGCTGAACAGTTGGGGAATTGAAAAGGAACGTGTCCATGTAATTGTGCGTGACAATGCGCGAAATATGAAGAGAGCCATGGAGGACTTGGCAGTACCGAGCTTGGGCTGTGTTGCACACACGCTTCAACTAGTTGTGCACGAGGGTCTGCTCTCTCAGCGCAGCGTCACAGACACAATGGCTAATGCCAGGAAGATAATAGGCCATTTCAAACATTCTCCTTTGGCCTATTCACGCCTGGAAGATATCCAGATTTCTCTGAAGATGACCGTGAAGCGCCTGCAGCAGGATGTGCATGTTGGATGGAACAGCAGCCTCTATATGCTACAGAGCATTCTGGAGCAAAAGCGAGCGCTCAGCATCTATACAGCTGACCACAACCTCCGTGCTACACTAACAGCTAGTCAGTGGACCCTGATGGAGAATACAGCTGAAGTGTTAGTTCCCTTGGAAGAACTGACTAGGGAAGTGAGCAAGGAGACTGCAACTGCAGCAGATGTGATCCCTGCCATTTCAGGTTGGTTTTGTTTTATTTTCTACATTTTAATTAAAGAACACACAATGCTTTTTTAATATTCTAAATAAGTAATAAACTGTTATCCATCTATTCATTCTCTAAACAGCTCTCAGACGTGTCCTGTCTCGAGAGCAAACGACTGACCAGGGTGTTCGAACCATGAAAAGAACTCTCCTAGAGGCAGTGGAGACTCGCTTTGCTGAGGTAGAAAAGGAACCACTCTACAGCATCGCCACTTTAGTGGATCCAAGATACAAAGACAGGCAAGTAGAATTAATGTACATTTTTAATTTGATTATAAGAAAATAAATTTTCAAAATTGTAAGTCAGCCAATGTCTAATTATGTTTTTAAAATTTAGATTTAGCTCTGTTAATGATTAGAGAATTATTTACTATTACATTAATATAACATTTCCTCAGCTGAACTGTTGTGTTATACAGTGTCTTGCCTAACTTTTTTTTTTAATTGTTACATTTATCTTGTAGATATTTCACAAAGTCAGACCACTTGAGGTTTGCTAAAGATTCCCTCATCCGGGAGGTGATGAAGATGGAGGAGAACAGGGTTGCCAGTGAAGAACCAGAGGCAGCAGAGCCTGTGAGCAAGGCACCTCGTCAAGGAGCAGGAAGCAGCCTTGGCAGCATCTTAGATGAGATCTTAGAAGAGCGTCAGCCAGAGGCCCAATCTGTGAGTACCACATCAGCAGATGTCCAGGTACGGATCTACCTTTCGGAACAAACCATCCCTAGGAAAAGCAATCCTCTAGACTACTGGAAAACACATGCTACACAGTTCCCTTCACTGGCTGCTGTTGCAACCAAATTTCTTTGTGCCCCCTGCACCTCAGTGGACAGTGAGAGACTCTTTAGTGCAGTGTCAAACATTCTTGACGAGAATAGGAATCGGCTCTCCCCCGACAAGTTAGAGATGCTGATTTTCCTCAAAAAAAACATGCACTTTATTTGGGAGCCTTAGAGTAAAAGTTGAGCTCCATGTAGAGCACATGGAAGAGGTGATTTACCAGTTCTTTGCAATTTGACGTTGATGTTTTATTCTTGAATGGTGTTAAGTTCGTGCACCACTTTGATTAGGCATATCTTTTGTTCGTTTTAATAAACAAGTCAGTCTAAAGGCCTAAGATGTATTTTATTTTGTTACCTGACTGAATTATGCAACTACCTCTTAGAGGTGGAGGTAAGCACTTTAATTTAACTTCTATTATTGTGTTGAGTTATTTTACAAACCTTTTCTACTTTTCTATAAAAACAAATTTGTTTACATATTGTTGCACCACTGATAAGCTACAAAGACATAATGTTGTTTACTTGGTTTGAAGTGCTGCTGCACTAACAAAATGTTTCTACTTATGGTATCATGTTGGATGCCGTCATATAAATAATAATAAAAAAAAACCTAACAGGTTAATTTGGGTGCAGTCTCCCTTTTTTCTTGCTATTTTATTGTATTGCTGAAGTATCGGATCGGGACTCGGTATCGGCAGATACTCAAAATCAAATGACTCGGAATCGGATCGGGAGCCAAAAAATGTGATCGGAACATCCCTAGAATTTATTGATCCCACAGTGGGGAAATTCACTTGTTACAGCAGCAGCAACACTTAAGAAAAATAATTTGAAGAAAAATAACAAAGGCTCATGTATATACACACAGGCAGTGGTCTAGTTTTGTAACCTTTGACCACTAAAACCACAAATAAAAACATGAAAAAACTTGGGTTCCAACACTATGCAGCATACTGTAAGAGAAGCAGATATGCAACGTAAGTCCGGTGTTGCACGAGAACTGAACACATACTGAATATTGCATTGGTGTCATTGTGTAGCAGGATAATGCCAGTACAGCTTAGACTAAGGCAGTGGTTCCCAAACTTATTTAGCCGCGCACCCCCTTCTATGTCCCAACCATGTCGACGCACCCCCCCCCCCCCCCCCCCGCCCCCACATCGGGGCATGGCTCTCTCTCTCTCTCTCTCTCTCTCTCTCTCTCTCTCTCTCTCTCTCTATATATATATATATATATATATATATATATATATATATATATATATATCAGATGTCAAGCTAAACAGACAGGGTTAAAAAAATTCCCCATCACTTTCATTTTTTAAAATAGTAATTAATAAACATTCGATACCATTACAATTTCCTTTGATTTCATTTTAAATAAATATTTAGAGTGCCCAGGTAGCACATAAACAATGCAATTTAACGGTTTTCTTAAAGTAGGAACGTTTAACCTGTGCGGCCAGAGCGCTCTCCTTCCTTCTGCTCTGCGTAAACCTGAGCTGATCACCTACTTGTGCGTAATCAAATGTCTATAGGGGACAAGATATAGCCATGATGTTCACTTTTACCTCAGACCGACTTATTGCTGTTTTATGGTGTGGCTGAATCTGTGATCCGCTGCCACGCGGACTGGAATGACAAATGCTGCAGTAACATGAGATGTGGTCAGGTTCATGAGGAGTCACTGGCTGGAGCGGACCCGACTCATCCCAGAAGCTAATATCTTAATTTGACCTTGAATGAAAAATAACCTCTTAAAAGTTTTTATCATGGTGGAGGCAGCGTTCATTTCTGCCTTCAGTCTGACGGCGCGCCGGAGTTAAAGCAGCGTGCGCGCTTATTGAATCTGTGTGTGTGTGCGCGCGCACGCGCACGCGGCACAGCCGCTCCAGTCACCGCGTCTCGTTATTGGCGCTATTTAAACTTCTGCCCAGCCCAGATGTGCTCACTTGTGCACCCGTGAGCCGTGGTTCAGCCGGAACGGGTCTGACCTCTGACAGACGCTCTCTGAACTTCAGATCTTCAGCGCGCTGTTAATAGCCTGAATGGGAATCATTTCTTGATTTATTTAGTTACATCCACAATGTTCTGTGTGTGAGGTTTACAACGTCAGAACACCTGCATGAGACAGGTGTTAATTACAATCTGCCAGAATGACTCACCACCTTCAGATTTCTCCAACACCATTAAAAATGATCAAATACGGAACATGTCGGCGTGCGCAGGCCAGAGCGCTGAAGCTCGGCGCATTATTATTATGAAGCTAGGGCACATGGGAAGGACACGCACGCGCGTGCAAAAATATACTTGTTTTCAATTACATTTATTGGGCCCACTTACTTTTTCTTTGGCCCACCCACAAATGAGTTTCTACAATAATGGTGACATAAGACAGACTACTCTGAGCTCCGCAGCCATTACACTTTTCACCTCGCGCACCCCCTAGCGGCAGCTCGCGCACCCCCAGGGGTGCGCACACCACACTTTGGGAATCCCTGGACTAAGGAGTTATACACCCTTACTGCAGAAGGGATGAAAGACCTACGGTAGCGTTCTGTTTTACATCTGGGATGTCTCAGTCTGCCTCTGAAGGAGCTGTCCATGGCAGTGGCGGCACTAGGGGGCGCTATAGCTACCCCTGGATTAGTCATTGCACCCCCAAGTAAATTTTTTTTTATAACTTAATTTTAATTTAATGTGTGGATGTGATAATATTTAACATACAAAACAAAAATAATCAGTAAATTATCATATAGATAGTAAAAAGTTAAACCAAAACAGGAAATTGATGTTAACCTTTGACCTCATTTTCCACCTGTGAACGAGTGAAAGGTAGAGCTAGTGGTAAAATGGATTGGTTTTTGTTGGCCACATTTCCACGGGTTCAGTCAGAAACGAATGAATGTTTGGAAGTGATCTCAGACCCACAAAAACCTACGGATCTGGATGAAGAGAGTCAACCCTCAGCCGCCGCAGCAGTTCAGGGTTTTGCCGCTGGAAATGCTAACACTATCGTTAGCTAACCTTGCAACACTATAGATGGTTTTCTGTGTGGCTGTATGTGTTTATGATTTCATGGAAAAGTCAGCGATTGTTCATATGTGTATGATGTGTATTAATGATTGTTTCAGGTGTTGTTGAGGTGTTGTGCACGCATGTGTATCTGCTAGTGTTGAAGGTGTTTTAGAGAACTATAGGTACGCATGACCACTTCCTTCATAGCACCCTCAATAAAAAGACTGGCTCCTTCATAGCACCTGCAGAAAACCATTTCTGGAGCTGCCACTGGTCCATGATCTCCACAGTGGGATGCAGTGGGTGAGAGGGGTTTTTAAGATGGTGGTTATCTTCCCCAGCATCCTCCTTTCACACCCAGGTACTTCAAGGTATACACCACATAAATGTCTGCTCCCTGGATGTTTACTGGTGAGTGAGGATGAGTGTTTCTCTGGACGTCAATCACCATTTCCTTTGTCTTACTGGTGTTCAAGCAAAGTTGGCTACACTCACACCAGTCCACAAAGTCCAAGATGACTGACCTGTACTCCTGGTCATTCCCCTCAGACACAGCCAACAATGGCTGAGTCATCAGAGAACATCTGGAGGTGACATCTGTTGGTGTTGTAGGTGAAGTCCGAGGTGTAGAAGGTGAAGAGAAAGGGTCAGAGCACCGTACCCTGTGGAGCTCCGCTCCAGTACTGCACACAGCCACCTTAGACGTACAGTTGTGTAGCTTCATGCACTGTGGCCTGTTGGTGAGGTAGTTGATGGTCCGTGCAGTAAAGCAGTCACATTCTCAATTTCAGCATGAAATCAACTGCTCTATTCTCACAACTCTGAGAAAGTGGATGTTAGTGACCTACTTCTAGGGGAAGTGTGTTCCAGAGCCGAGACTAGCTTCGGGGGGAGGAGCAGGGCCTGGTGACGCACTTAGTCACACATACAAGGATTTTGCAGGGTTTTCAAAATAAAACTCAAAATTTGCATCCGAGACAAGAAAAGAATGTAGCCAAAAACAGGTTTAGGGGAGAAAATCACATGGTAAAAAGCTCAAAAAGTGGCTTTTCCATGAAATGTCATTCTATGAATTTCTAAGTGGAGGTATTGAGGAGATCTATTCTGGTGGCCTAAGGATCAGGTCTCTGCTTCATCAGGCGGTGATCTCCTGCTTTCGCAGGGGTGGTTTGCAGCAGAGTGTGAAGCAGCCAGGATGAGAATCAGCTCCTCTAAATCCAAGACCATGGTCTTGAGTCTGAAAAGGATAGAATGCCTTTTCCGGGTCGGAGACGAGGTCTTCACGGCACAACCGATAAGAGACCCAAGGGAAGACACAGGACACACTGGAGGGACTATGTTTCTTTGCTGGCCGGGAAATGCCTTGGGCCTCCCCCGGAGGAGCTGGCTAAGTGGCTGGGGAGAGGGAAGTCTGGGCCTCTCTGCTTAGGCTGCTGCCCCCGTGACCCGACCCCAGATAAGCGGCTGAAAATGGATGGATGGAGTTATACAACATTTGATGACATGCTCAGCGTTTAAAAAAATCAATCTTTAAATCAAAAACAACCTTCTGATGTCTTCAAATCTCACTTAAAAGTACCAGAGAAAATTACTGATTGACACAAATATTGATTTGTTTTGTACTGTTAGATACTGATGAACTGATATGAAAAATACTCCACTTCCTCCTCCTCCTCCTTTTTTCACTCTGAGGTGACAGACCTACAATATCACTTAAAGTCATTTGTATTAAGATGTAATTTAGCATCAGGTACATTTTGTGCTGCATAAACAGACGTGGTCCATGCACTGACCCCAGGGGTACGCCTTCTGCATTTAAAAGAGGTGCAGCCTGCACACAGTCCTATCAATGAGGACATGATCCAACCACCCGAATCCCTCTTCAAGTGGTCTACTTAACTCCTTATCTAGTACAACATCCTCATTACGAAGTCTGGAGCAGAAAAAGAAGCTAGGCTACAGCAGCATTTCTCATGGCTCAGAAAGAGAGTGATGCTAAAGAACACCAGGTTCCCAGAGGTACCTGCAGGACAACAAGGTAATGCAACGACAGCAGTGTTTATGACTGAAGCACCCAGCTGATAAGCTAAGCCAGTCAGCACTTTGAACTAGCCGGCACTGCTCCGTGAGCCCTGACACCCTCTCTGCTCCACCAAACACAGCTTCCAGGATGGACTTACACAAGAAGACACAGCAGACATCTTTCATCTCTATTTCAGCTTCTCTATTGCTTCAACCATCTCTAAATGGAGACAAACAAGAATCTATTCATACACACATGTGTGTTCAAGTTAAATCCCAGCATCAGCACCATTGCACCCAGGCTGAGGAAATAGCACATTTCTAATTGGTGGCCTGAGAGCGAGCAACGAGAGGAAGACAGGAAGTGGAGAGTGAGCAACAGAGAACATGATGACTCAGGAGTCGCTGCTTTTATGCGTTAGGATGGAAGGTCAATCCGAATGAGGTCAAACGTGATCTTAGAGGATGAATGTGTTTCAGCTTCATCCAAGGTCCCATAAACCATCATTCCACATAATTTACATCAAGCATGAGGCCGTTTTGTTTGTTTTTGGAGAATTGGAGCATGAATGTATTATTCAAAATATTTCATTCATTCATTCATTTCATTCAAATGGCTTGGTTTTGACATTTATGTATATTTTGTTTGTTTTTAATTCTGATTTGAATGAAAGAAAACATACCGTATATAAATAAATCTTATTTATGGCTAAGCACTGAAAAGCAAAAGGTGGCTGGTGATGTGTTTGCCTGTTTGTTAAATATCTCCTGGACCACTGGGCAGATGGTCTGGCCAGCCAGACTCGCCCACCGTCTGGCCTACACAGACGCCGAGTCTGGATGCTCAGAGGCAGAGAGCACCATGAGGGGCGGGACCAGCCAGCTCAAAAATAACCAATCAGAAAAAAAGGCGGCAATGATGACGACAATGTTTTTAGCTGTAGCCAACGATGGCGTCTGGCGACGGCACAATCATCTTTCTTTAGGAGAAAGGCTTTTAGCTCATCTTCTTGTTGTGGTTTTAAAGACGTGTCCAAGTCATTTAGAGCAGAGGAAACAAGCGCCGCTTCAGACTCCACCTTCGAGGTTTATGAGAAACTGAGCGTCGAGCTGTGTGACGTACGCTGGCTGGTATTCTCAGGGGGTGGGGTTATTTGAATGGGAGTGTTACCAGGCCCTTTGCTCCCCTCAAGGAAGCACTATCATGGCTGGCCAGGCTCCACCGGAAGAGCAGGAGCTGAGAAAGGTGACAATGGAAAGATCAAAAATTCAGAGGTGTTTTTTTTTTAGTCGGGGAAATGTCCCACAAGAAGGGGGCGGGGCTTAAAAACAACCACTAGAGGGTGTTATGGTTCTGTTCTGATAACATCTGCATACATTACTCTTTCTGGAATAATTTCATTTGTTTTTTACTTTGGGTTTTGGCTCTCGCCAATCACAAAAAAATTTTATGAACAGAACTTGGTTTTTGTTTTTAAAAAGCTACATTCCGCTTTGCAAGCGTGCTTTATTTTCCTGTTTCTTGCGTGTCTGGAAACTAAACCCAGGTGTGTGTTGAGGTGGTGTTTTTAAGAATATGTCTCTGATGACAGCTATGATCCCAAAGCCAGCTATTCTCTACTCGAACACCTGAGCTTCAGCAGCAGCGCTTCTGTCTGTAAGCGCTCTACAGAGCCGCTCTTACTGGTTCTACGAGGGGCATCTAATCCTCCCAGGAACTGAAGACCTTTCATTCAGAGAGGATTTAAAAATCCTCTAAGTGCTCATTCAGGCAGGAACAGATTTCCTTATTTTGTTAACATGGATCAGATGAAGCCTTGCTGGGAGGAGGTTGGTTAGCTGGTTCTGAATTAGGTTACTACAGTGAGTGCTTCTCTCTATGAAGGGGTAATGAATCAGAACACCTGCCTCTGAGCTACATCTACATTCACTAAACAACTGCATTTCTTTAGCTGTTTATTGAGTTTCAACTGATTCCCTCCACGGATTTTTCTCAACAAAAACATTTGTATTTAAAAAGAATATAATAAAAAATTTACAGATGGCTTCTCAATGGAGTATAAAGAACTACCACTAATTTTTTTAAAAGTGTAACTCATCTCAATGCACAGAAAATACTCACTTTTAGCCAAATGCACTAAATCTAGTTAACCAAGTTGTTTTTAGAAGAAACTAGGAATGGTGGTGACTATTTCCTGAGATGCGGGCCCTGCTGCTGCCTGGCATTATGTCAGTCAGGGGCGGACTGGCCCTCTGTGGATTCTGGAGAATCACAGAAGGGCCGGTACTCCAGGACGGCCAGTGGGCCGGTGTTGGTACAGGATCTGCTCGGGTGCAGGATCGGCTCGGGGTCCTTCGACTGCCGATGACGCCACATGACAGCAAATCTACTCGGCTTTCACACACACGTTTTGGAAAGACATCAGCCGTTTTGTTAATAAATTCTTGTTTGTTAACACCTAAATGTTTTCTTTATAATTGTAATTTGTTAATAAAACACCATATTATCTTTGTTTTGTAAAGAATGTGAAACTGCATAAAACCAACATCGGACTGACAAACAATAGAATAGTTCTTATATGTGAAGCCACGTCTGTTTGTATTAATGTGGAGTTCGTCTGTATATTTCCTTAGTTCTTATCTAAATACATTCTTTGACTCTAAATGTTGCTTGGTGTCTTTCAGTAAAGTTCTTATATTTTATTTTGCCCCATTTCATCAACATCAAATGGTAAATGGTCTGTATTGGATATAGCGCCTTCTAGAGTCCTGGAACCCCCCAAGGCGCTTTACAACACAATCAGTCATTCACCCATTCACACACTGGTGGTGATGAACTACAGTGTAGCCACAGCTGCCCTGGGGTGCACTGACAGAGGCGAGGCTGCCGAGCACTGGCGCCACAGGTCCCTCCGACCACCACCAGCAGGCAAGGCGGGTTAAGTGTCTTGCCCAAGGACACAACGGCAGTGACAGACTGAGCGGGGCTCGAACCTGCAACCTTCCGATTACGGGGCGAGCTCTTAACTCCTGTGCCACCGTCGCCCCAAGAGCTTTTGAGGGTCACCGTTTATCATTTGCTTATATTTTACATTTCCTTTAGAAATTCAAACATATTTTCTCCAAAAAGTGTTGATTTTTGGACTACAGGACTACGACCGCAAGTTTGTTCTGACCAGTCTAAATCGTAACGTGATAACGCCACTTCCGTAAGCTTCATGTTCAGCCATTCAACTACTTTGACGTCATCGGCAGTCGAAGGACCCCGAGCCGAACCTGCACCCGAGCAGATCCTGTACCAACACCGGCCCACCACCCTCCACGCACGCTTTCAACACCTGTTTTCCCCCCTCAAAGCTCTTTCACACTCCAGCACGCTAGGTGGCAGCACTGCACCTCTAAGTTGGATGCCAGCTACATTGGCTGTGGCCTCCAGGCAAGAAGAAGAAGAAGCTGAAGCAGAGAGGAGGCAAAAGAAAAAAAACATGCAAAACCTGGCTGCTGGTAAAAAAAAAAAAGGAAAGAAAAGGGTGGGGCTGAGAAGGCAAGAGAAAAAATGCAGGCATTAGATGCTGAAGCCTCTAAATGTCGCAAATTAACCGACATATTTAGCAGCCGCACCTGGCAGCAGGTTCACAGCAGTGATGAGGGACAGAAAGATGCGCTGGTTCTGCAGGCAGATCCAGGGGAAGTAAGTATGGGATGTAAGAGGACAAACATTTGCCAGGTTTGATGTTAGGAATTCATGTTTAGGTTGCAATTTTATTTTATGATAGCAGCTAAATTTCAACATTTTAGCTGTAAAAGGCCACATGCAGTAGGTAATAAGAAATATGTTGTGGTTTTAGGTAAAAAGGTTGGTAGTAGTGTTACAGTTAATGCTCACAAACTTTGAAAATCTTAAATACAGAAGTTACATTTGTAATGTTGCATTTTCATTTAGATGTGGTATTATTTGTGCAGTAAGATGAATTACTGCATAAATTATTAAGCTTATCGGTAATACAGCTTTTAATACAACATATAGTCAACATTAGCGCTGATGACTTTGGGCCGGGCCTAGTCAAACTCCAGGGCTGTTTTTTAGTCCCAGTCCGTCCCTGATGTCAGTTCATTGTTGTCTTTGAAACTCCTTCAACATTTATCTAGCACTGCCACGGGGACTTGGTTAAAACACCTCCGGTAAGCCACAGAGGGTCTTTGTTGAGCCGGTGTTACCCGGTAACAGCGGCGGGCGGAGCGGATGATGCTGCCGCTGCTGCCGGGGAGGGTGGTGTCTGATCGGGTCTTACCCTGCTCCAGATCCTGCTGGTCGTACCACGGCTCTTCCTCTTCGGTTACAAACTCCTCCATTGTCGCTGAGCTAACCATGGGGGTCCGCCTCTCCGTTCAGATAGTGTACAAATAAATAAAAGGCAGCCCGTCGAACCCTCCAGTCTGAACAATGACCCTCCAGCAGCAGCGGAGAGGAGTCTCCAGAAGCCGAGGAGCTGTCGCTCCCCTCGGTGCTGAGTCTCGACGTGTTTCCGCTCAGTCACCGCCTCCTCCCTCTCATCCCTACCCTCCAGCCAGCACCGGCGCGCGTCATTTGGAATCGTAGGATGTCCAAGGAAGGTCCCGCCTTTCTTGCCTCTGATTGGCTGGAAGTGCTCTCCTACGATTGGCTATTTCATGTAACAGCGAACCATGCTCCCTTGCTGCAATGCCAGCACTGCAGCCATTGTTTGTTTTTTGGGATAAAATGTTTTTTTTCGTGCCCGCCCTGCATACTGTGGCTCATAATTCAAATGATTTTTTTAATGAACTTTTATTAAACATTTGAAAAACGAACAAAAGTGACTACATTTCAAAATCCGTAAACAGAATGGCATTAGTAGCTCCGAAGTTCGTGTTCATGCCAGCTTGCATTTTGTAGATAATATTCAACTTGGTATAATAAGAAGACAGTAAACAAAAAAACAAAAACAGAAAAAGAAGGGATACAAATAAGAAAACATGAAAAACAAAATATATGTGTATATAAATGAAAATTTTACAAGAGGGAAGAGCAAACCATGGGCGTCGCACCCGTGGGGGGGATGCAACAACCATACTTATCCAGCCGTTTTGCTCACCTCCACACCAGTCTGGTTTCTTTACGTCGCACTCACTCTGTTTGCCTCATCTCCTTCTTCCCCTCCCTCTTCTGACAGCTGATGTCGGGTTTCCAGGAGAGCAGGAGAGGGAGGGACGGAAGAGCTCGACTGAATTAATAATTTTACATCTTGACATTAGCTGTACAAAGTCTGAGTTTGATAAAGTGAAGAACAACAATTTGCAGAGGTTTATAACAGGCGTGGCGCCAGGTTTTCATTTTTGGGTGGGCCACGGTCATTTTGGACGGACCTTAATAGGCAGTGACTTAAGTGAAGCAGGCAGGTTGCGCTAGAAAATTTTGTTTAAAAAGACGTCATAAATGTGTCCCCCCATCATTTTTATTTCTAAAATATGAAGTAAAAACTCCCAATTTAATTTTCATTCATTTGTCATTAATATGTAGTCTACACCCGTGCGTCAAGTGGACCATCTTCCAGTAAACGCAAAGCATCCAGCCCACCTCTCCAAATGCGTAAAATGTGCATCAGCCGCTAGTTAGGCGCGCCGCGCGCACCATCAGCTCCGTCAGCCCAGACAAGAGCAGAGCAAATAGAGACAGAATAGAGGATAATTGTGTCTGGATGTGGATGGAGATTACATTTTACATCAGCCTGATCATCATTTAAATACGTAAACCATCACCTGGCTTCTAGTCCACGCTATCAGCATTATTTTAATTGGTGTGTGTGTGTGTGTGTGTGTGTGTGTGTGTGTGTGTGTGTGTGTGTTTGTGTGTGTGTGTGTGTGTGTGTGTGTGTGTGTGTGTGTGTGTGTGTTTTCCACGTCAAACACTGGTCTAACCAACCAGACCAGCGTGTCCAGTAACACATTAATGTTACAATTAAACAGTTTCACTTCATGTAGGCTAGGAACGTTTCACCTGCCGTGGCCCGACCGCTTCTGCTCCACATAAACTTTGTGCGTGATCAAATGTCTCTACAGGTGCTTTCTGAGCTGAAGAGGCTATTCTGCCTCAGACTGGATGCGTCATGCGTCTCCATATTAGAGACGGGATCAAGCGCTATTCAGCCAAAGTTTAATAATCCGAGAACATTTTTCCAAGTGACACATCCCTCAGAGAGACCGGGTTTCCAGACCGTTTCAGTGGGAGGAAATCTTACCGCATGCACCGTGGTTCTGCGCTGTGAACCCCTCTGCAGATCTTCAGCTCACTGTCCACCGTGTGCGCTGCAAGCCGCGCTGAGCACAGTGTCCAGTATAAAGCACTGATGTTCTGATGGGAATCATTTCTTGATTTATTTAGTTACCTCCGCGATGTGCGTAACGATTAAAATGTCAGCTCATCTGTGTGCGCATCAGTGTGCGTCGGGGTAATTCTTTCAAAACAACAACATCCTTGAGTTTATTCGTCAAAATAAACAGTCAAATGTAAATATCTGTAACCTGCCATTTAACTGTTTTACCTTCTTGTGAAGATTGTTGCAAAGAGAAACAATTAAACCTGGTTAACCCCAGAGCCATGCGCACTGCGCTGTACTGACTGTAAATGAGGGGGAAACGATTTAATCGCATCCTTTTCTTTTCAACATGGTTTAATGTAAAGTTTCATTCAGTACAAACTTTAGTTACACCAATCTAACGAAACAGAGCCTGGATTTGTATTCTGAACAGTTTAAACATGTTTAAAACGGAGACGTGCGTGACGCGTCAAAAATTCGCACAAGCTCCGCTATTATGGAAATTAAACTAACAAGATGAATAACATGAACTTATTTTAGGCACAGACAACATCCCCCACACTTCTGAAAAGTTTGCAACGCGCAAACAAGGTCTATTGTGTAAACTATCCAAAAAGAGGTTAGAGATTAGTATTTATAATGAAATCATAAAGCTTTATGGCATTGGGGGTGGACATTTTACCTAAGGATCTCAACAGCACTTTCATTTCATTTTTGAGATTATTCCAGGTAGGTGGATTTTTGAGATATCGGCATTTGCGTATGAAAAATTTTGTCAAGATTATGAGATTATTCATTAAAAATTCTGTATTTTTATCTTTTAGTATAATGCCAAATAAGATATCTTCAACTCTGAATTTGTTTATATAAATTTAATTGGAGTTCAGCCATTCCTGGAGTGAATTCCACATCATTAAAATTCTATCACATTCGTAGAAAAGATGTTTGGTCGATTCATCGTTTTGTTTACATAAGTAACATTTTTCCACATTGAACTTAAATCTAGTTAGTATAAAATGGTTAGATGGGTAAATATCGTTCAAGGTTTTAAAATGGACTTCTTTATACTTTAGGGGTGTCACGTTGAGAGTATGGTGAGGACCCAAAATGCAGATACCCAGACGGCACGAGGCAGGAGTTGATATAAAGTAAAATCCTTCATTTGTAGGATGAACAAAAATAAATCCAAAGGCAGGAAGCCAAAAATCCAAAAATACTGAAACAAGAGAACAAAAGCTCACTCAGAGCACTAACTGGGAACGAGACAGGAAGCTCACACAAAGCACTAAAAAGAACACTGACAAACAACAATGGACCAACAAGACACTGAGACAAGACAGGGCTATTATAGACTGGGAGGAGCAATTAGGGAAACAAGCAGCGGGTGTGTGGAGTGAGGGCTGGAGGGAAAGGGGAACAGAACCAGAGGAGGGCAGAAAAACCCAAAACTATAAAACACAAAACTAAACCTAAAGACTGAGGGAAGGACTCACACACACACTCACACGCACTACACCGAGCTGAGGAAGGACACACACACACACACACACACACACACACACACACACACACACACACACACACACACACACTCACACACACACACACACACACGCACTAGGGCTGGGACGACGCGTCGACGTAATCGATTACGTCGACACGTAAAATACGTCGACGCATATAATTTGCGTCGATGCGTCATCACGTTCAAAAACAAACATGGCAGCAGCGAGTAGTGGCAGCGTGAGCGGGGTCGACTTAAATCACTCAACCCGAACTCGCAGTTCAAAAGTATGGGACTATTTTAACAAAAAAGGAAGCGATTCAGTCGTTTGCCGGCTTTGTAAAATGGAAATGGCCTATCATAAAAGCACGACGGCTATGCACCAGCACCTCAAACGAAGGCATCCAGGAGCAGCTTCTGCAAACGAAAAAACACCGTAAGTTTTCAACTTTTTTTTTTTTTACTAACGCTGTTTTATAACATCCAAACACCCCATGTAGCCATGCACTAACTCACACACACAAGCAGACCCACTGCTGCCACGCTGCTTAGCAGTAACATATAGCAGCAGCTGTTATCTGTTTGTTGCTATTTATTTGTGGCTCATGATGGCCAAATGAGTCGGAATGCACACGTGCTGATTATGAGAATCAGCGAGAGCTGAAAATGTGGGAGAGCGCTAATTGTCCGCAGTAAAAATGTTAACAAAGACAATGTATCACCTGCTAAATGTAGCCGTCGTGGACATTATTACAATATTGTTGAAGTGCTTGCAAAAGCAAAATGACAACGGACTCTTGATTGTCAAGTTTAATGCCTCGTCCTGTTTGAACGTTATTTTTATACATCATGCTCCTCCAGCTTGTTGATCTTATAGATCTAAGTTGCACCATCTAATGACTACAAAAATGTGCAGCATTTTGTGTTAAAACCTCTTTTTTAACACATCTTGTAGATTAAATATTTTGAAAAAAACCTGAAATACAGATCTTCAAATTATTATTTTGATATTATGCTTTCTACATAAATATTTTTGTAATAATTTTAATTTATCTGTGTTGTATGTGTGATTTATGTTTTCAGGAACAAACAGAAAAGTCTGGAGGACTACTGTCAGAGAAGAACACCCTGCACCCCCCAGGAGGTGGCTGTACTTACTGAGAGCGTCCTATCTATGATTCTGAAAGACATGAGGCCACTTGCTGTGGTTGAGGGTGAAGGATTCAAAGAAATGCTGACCACTTTTCAACCAGGTTACACTCTGCCTTCTAGGCGCCATTTTACAAGCATGATGGAGAGAAAATATCAAACTTCAGTTGAGAAACTAAGGAGCGAACTAAAAAAGGCCTCATCCAAAATTTCTTTTACCACTGATGCTTGGACAAGTCTAGTCACAGAGTCCTACTTAGGAGTAACTTGTCATTTCATCAATGACAATTGGGATCTTCACTCCTTCAATTTAACAACACTCCCAGTTGAAGAGCGCCACACTGCAGAAAACCTTGCCTCCTGGGTGGAGAAGGTGGCAGAAAAATTCCACATTTCCTTGCATAATGTCCTTGCCATTGTGCATGATACTGCAAGTAACATGGTTGCAGCTCTCCACATCCTGGAAGAGAAGTTTGGAGTGGTATCCTATCGGTGTGCTGGGCATACACTGCAACTGGTTGTAAACCATGCACTGACAGACCCCAAGATTGATAAGGCACTATCAGCTGCACGGGGCCTTGTAAAGCACATCAAGAAAAGTGAGCCAGCTAGCATCAAGCTTAAGGAGAAGCAAAAACAGATGGGTACAGCTGAGCATAAACTAATCCAGGATGTAGCTGTCAGGTGGAACAGCTCATACTACATGATTGAAGGTCTGTTGGAACAGAGATGGCCAGTAGTTGCGACGCTTTCAGATCCAGAAGTCACACAGCGTGGGAAACAGTACCTGGATCTGAAAAATGATCAGTGGATTCTTCTGGGTGAGTTGAAGGAGGTACTCAAGCCTTATGAGCAAGCCACTAATGTTCTTAGTGGACAATCTTATGTCACAGCCTCTGTTCTCCCCCCACTGCTGAAGGGTCTTCTGAAATCCACTCAAAACAAATCCTTCGATTCTGCTGCAGTGAACATTTTCCAGAACAGTGCAGAAGAGGAAATCATGTCAAGGTGGCAGCCAGAGATATCTGCATTTCAAGAAGATGGGAAAAATGTGTCACTCATTGCTGCTGCCCTCGATCCACGTTTTCGTAAACTGAAATTTCTTTCTCCAGAGGATGCTCTGAAACTGCAAGTAAGAGTACAGAAGGATGCACTTGACCTCAAAAGGGAGCAGAGATCACAGCTCCAGCAGGCAACTGTGGGGCAGGAAGCCTCAGCAAGTCCCCCAACAAAGAAGAGGTCTGTGTTGGACACTTTGTTGGGTACAGATTCTGAGGAGGAAGATTGTAATGAAAACATTGACCAGGGTGGGGACGGAGAAAATGAGACAGTGAGGAAAGAAGTACTGTTGTACTTTGGGGAAGCACCTATTCCAAGGGATAATGACCCCCTTACATGGTGGAAGAATAATGCTACAAGATTCCCCACACTGGCTACTTTAGCCAAATCATATCTGGCTGTACCTGCCACATCAACACCCTCTGAAAGGCTTTTTTCTGTTGCTGGAAACATTGTCACCAAAAAAAGGGCAAGCCTGACTGCTGAGCATGTAGAAATGCTAGCATTCCTTCACACCAATGCATAACTGCTTCATGTGATGAATATGATTGGACACACACACACACACACACACACACACACACACACACACACACACACACACACACACACACACACACACACACAGAGAGAGAGAGAGAGAGAGAGAAACGAGAGAAGGCAGCAAAATGGATGTTATTTTTTTAAAGAGCACTTTTTTGCAGAGAGCAAAGTGAATGTTATATTTTTTTGTTCAAAGACACCATTGCTGCTGTTTATTTTATTTATTTTTTGTTGTTTTGCACAACATTTAATTTCTTGTTAAATGCTACCTCTAAAATAAGATTGTACTACTATTTTGGATTTTTTTTAAATTAAAACAATGCATAACTACTTCATGTGATGAACAAAAGAAAAGGCAAAATTGATTTTATTTTGAAAATGAACAACACTTTTTTGCAGAAAACGAAGTGAATGTTAGATTTTGTTTGTTAAAAGACGCCATTGCTGCTATTTATATATTTTTTGTTATAAAATTTCCTTGATTTCTATGAATATTTTGCACAACATTTAAGTTTTTGTTAAATGTTATCTCTAACATAAGATTGTACTACTATTGCAACAACTTTATTTTAGAATTTATTTTATGAAAATGTGTTCAAATGAAGAAATTTGCATTTATTTCATTGAGATACATAAATTAGTAATAATCAAACTTTTATACAAGTAAAAAATAATTGGGAAATAATCAATAATTTAATCTAATCAAATTAACAAATTAATCGTTAGATTAATCGATGCATCGAAAAAATAATCGCTAGATTAATCGATTACAAAAATAATCGTTTTGCCCAGCCCTAACACGCACACACACACACTGAAATAAAAGACCTATATAAACTGAGATGGGGAGACTAAGAGACGTGAAGAGAACCAGGAGGGAGCTGAGGACAAAAAGGCTGGGGCTACAACAGAAGACACGGACAAAAGACACATGAGGGTGCTTATGAGACACAAAATGGGAAACTAGAGAGGGATGGAGAACATGAGGAGACACATGAGGGAAGACGCAGACCATGACAGTACCCCCCCTCTAAGGGCGGATACCAGACGCCCACAAGACAGACAAACCACACCACAAGCAAAAGACAAGACAAAAACGGGACACGAGAAACCACAGGGTGGGAGAGGAGGGACCAAAACAAAAAACAACCCACAAGGGTGGGTGAGGAGGGAACAGAAGACCAGGGAGGCCGGCGACAGGGAACCAGGGAAACAAGAGACTTTGAGGGGCCGGCGACGGAGAACCAGGAGGCGGGACCAGGGAAGTCTTGGGGACCGGCGACAAGGAACTAGGAGGCGAGACCAGGGAAGGCTTGGGGGCCGGCGACGGGGAACCAGGAGGCGGGACCAGGTAAGTCTTGGGGGCCGGCGACGGGGAACCAGGAGTCGGGAACATGCAAGTCTTGGGGGTCGGCGACGAGGAACCAGGAGGTGGGAACATGCAAGTCTTGTGGGCCGGCGACGGGGAACCAGGAGCCGGGAACAGGAAACTCTGGGGATCGGGGGCTTTGGAGGAGGAGGACGATGAAGGATCTCTGGAGACAGGGACTGAGACTGGGACACTTGTGGAGACTGGGACACTTGTGGGGACATTGAGACTTGAGACCGGGAGACGTCTACTTCAGAGCTGGAGACGTCTACTTCAGAGCTGGAGACGTCTACCTCAGAGCTGGAGACACCTACTTCAGAGCTGGAGACGCCTACTTCAGAGCTGGAGACGCCTACTTCAGAGCTGGAGACTCCTACTTCTGTCGACTTCGAGACAGGAGGCGTCGACTTCGAGACAGGAGGCGTCGACTTCTGGCCTGGGGGCATCAACTTCTGGCCTGGGGGCGTCAACTTCGAGACAGGAGGAGTCGACTTCGAGACAGGAGGCGTCGACTTCTGGCCTGGAGGCGTCGACCCTTGGCCTGGAGGCATCGACCCTTGGACTGGAGGCGTCAATCCTTGGCTTGGAGGCGTCGACCCTTGGACTGGAGGCGTCGACCCTTGGACGGTCGACTGGAGGTGTTGACCCTTGGACTGGAGGCGTCGACTTCTAGCCTGGAGGCGCCGGACTGGGCGGAGCCTCTTGGACAGGCTGGGCTGGGAGCGGAGCCTCTTGGACAGGCTGGGCTGGGAGCGGAGCCTCTTGGATGGGCTGGACCGGAGCCTCTTGGACGGGCTGGACCGGAGCCTCTTGGAAGGGCTGAACCGGAGCCTCTTAGAAGGGCTGTAACGCAGCCTCTTGGAAGGGCTGTACCGGAGCCTCTTGGAAGGGCTGGACCAGAGCCTCTTGGAAGAGCTGGACCGAAGCCTCTTGGAAGAGCTGGACCGGAGCCTCTTGGAAGAGCTGGACCGGAGCCTCTTGGAAGAGCTGGACCGGAGCCTCTTGGAAGAGCTGGACCAGAGCCTCTTGTAAGGGCTGGACCGGATGCGGTATGTCCTCCGGGACCACCGCCGAGACAGGATGCCATGCGTCCTCCGGGACCACCACCGAGACAGGATGCCATGCGTCCTCCGGGACCACCGCCGAGACAGGAAGCCATGCGTCCTCCAGGACCACCACCGAGACAGGAAGCGACGCGTCTTCCGGGACCACCGCTGAGACAGGAAGTGACGCGTCCTTCGGGATCACCGCCGAGACAGGAAGCAATGCGTCCTCCGGGACCACCGCCGAGACAGGATGCGGTGAAGGCAGGTGGAGCTCAGACTTGGACTGCAGAACAGGAGCCTCTTAGAACGGCTGAACAGCTCGGGTCTCCGGGATGAGGAGGAGATTGGGCTGAACTGGTGATGGTGGCGGGTGGAGCTTGGGCTGAGGTGCAAGTGCAGGAGACACCTGAACTGTTGGTGATGCTCTGACCCCAGATGACCTCTGACGGCGGCGGCGGCATCGTCGACGTGGGGGTTTTTGGGTCAACGGAGGTGTGGAGATGGCAGAAACCGAAGATGAGGAGGAAGAACGACCCACCAGGGATGAAGAGACAGCGTTGTCGGGACTAAGTGAAGGTGTGGAGGTTAGGACCCTCAGAGACGCTGAGAGGGCGCTTAATACAACTTTGGTAGGTGTCAGATGTTGATCCACCGGAAAAAAGCCGGTAGTGCTGTCTGAGCCAGATGGAGGTTGGGAGGTGAGTGTGTGTGGGTGGCAGAAGGCGTCTTGCAAATCCTTAACGAAAACCTTAAAGTGCAACTCTTTTAAAAGATATTGCTTGAAGTAGCGGTTGGCCCATTGCAGGGCTCTCCCCTCTAGGCGGTACACCAGAGAAATAACCAAATCAATGTCCAAAAGGTCCCAGTCCACAGAGCGCACAACGTTCCAAACAAAAGCCCTACAGACAGCCGGGTCACCATTGAAGTTATTCCTCCCATGGCTAGGATCCCGTTTACCTGGGGTTGCTGCTGGGTCCTGGGTTGGTCGGTCCATTCTGTCACGTTATGGAGGATGGTTCGGACCCAAAATGCAGATACCCAGGATGACACGAGGCAGGAGTAGATAAAGAAAAATCCTTTTATTTTAGGATGAACCCAAAACGAACATAAAAACCAAAAGGGGCAGGAAGCCAAAGTCCCAAAATGCAGAGGATGATCAGGAGATCCAAAAACACTAAAGGAACGAGCAGGACTGACAGAATAAGTCACACTGATAGCAACAATGGACCGACAAGAACAATGAGACAAGGACAGGCTTTATACACTGGGGCTGGAGTGATAGGAGACGAGGAGCAGGTGTGTGGGGAACTGGCACAGGTGAAAGCACTAATGAGGAGAGGAGCAGAGCAGGACACCAGACCTGACTGGGAAGGACACACACACACACACACACACACACACACACACACACACACACACACACACACACACACACACACACACACACACACACACACACACACACACACACACACACACACACTGAGCTGGGGACAAAAAGGCTGGAGCTACAAGAAAAGACACATACATGAGATGTAGACAAAGGACACATGAGGGCGCTATGAAACACAAAAGGAGAACCTGGAGTGGGAACTGGAGGGGCTGGGGAACAAAGGGACACAGAACATGACACCCCCAACACAGCAGAATAGGGTTTGGGATTGTGTCGACACTGGCGCGGCCGCCATGTTAGAAACCTGAGTTCTTACTTGTTGCTTGTTACTTCAGACAACAGCACATTCAGTCTCACGGCTTCATTTTTTTCTATTATTTTTTTGATCGGTTATTACTCAACCATGGTAAATTGTTGCTGTGTTGTGGGGTGCAACACATGATCACCAGGCAAATAAAACGCAGAAAACGGATGAACTTTTCTCTGTTTTCCTGCTAACCACAGAGACCAAGAGACATAATAAAGTCTGGTTGGCTCACTTGGATCACAGCAGCCTTAAGGCGACTTAATGTCACCTTCCAGGGTATCCCGGTCTTTATTGACAGTGTATTCTATGCATTTCCATTCTGTTACAGTTAAGTTACAGATGGTATACATTTTTTATACATCGTTTCTTTCCTTCAACGCAACAAGCATACAAACAGTGGACACACACATGTAGCGGTAGGCTAATGCAGGCGCACTGAAGCACAACACAACTTCTTTTGCTGCACTTCTTCTGTGGGATGACAATTTTCATTGTTTTACTAGAAAAACCAGCAGATTAAATATATACCTCTCATCCAGACGTTTACATCCACTCACACCACAAACAAAATAGCCGAAAATGTTCACGATGCAGAACTGTCGCATCAACAAGTTGTCATTGGTGCTCCAGTCTTGGGTCTTTCATATGGATCTAAGTTGTGTATGATGTTGATTTTGTTTACATACCGGTCCCTGAATTCCCTTTACGTATCCCTGTATATTCTGCATTCTTTTCGATATGCGAGAAAGATGGAGCATAAGCTCGAAAGAGGGATTGGTGCTGCATCTAAAGTGATGCGGGGGTCATACCGGTCTGTCGTGGTGAAGAGAATGCCGAGCCAGCGCTTTGGGCTTCCTGACAGGGTTGCGGAAGGCGCTTTATAAATAAAGCTTTGATTGATTGATTTGATTTGAGCCAGAAGGCGGGTCGATCTACATTCCTACCCTCACCTATGGTCACAA